TTCTGAAAACCCCATCTAGACCCTCATACAAGACTATATAAAGACGACAAGATAATACGCCATCTCGAAGAAGCTATTTTTTGTGTTTTTGTTTGTTTTTATGGTTGCTTTATCTATTATATCTTTTTTTTTGGTGATGGTGCTATTTATTTTATTTATCTGCATCAAAATGCTAACAAATGGCGTCTTCTGAGAAATCTCTTTATTAAAAATATTAACACTGTCTAAATCAAACAAATAGTTAATGGTAGAAGACATAAGACGAACTAATTAAATTTCGAAATTCATTTATTAAGAAATAGGGAAACTGCTTTTATTAGCATTAAACATTTGACCCACTATTTTATGATTCAGTTCTGTTAAGGATTACATTGAGCTACATTGTATAACAGCAAATACCAATTAATCTTTGGTTTGACCCAACCGGGAATCGATGAAACACGCAACCTCCCATATTCGAGGCGAGCAAGCTTTCACGAAACCAGCGAGATTAGCTCTATTTTCATCTCTTTCAGAGGTATTATAGAACCAATCAATTATATTTCTATACAATAAAAGTATATTCAACATTGAACGACAATTTTAAATATAATGATTTTGACAATACCAATTTTTTTTTTCCTCCCAGCAGGACATTTTATGCATTTGACCTGCCATTGTTATGTTTCTTTATTTCTCTTAAAATTAATAGAAACAATTCCCGACTCAATGAGAAACTAAATGTAAAAAAGAGATGTGGTATGAGACAATTATCCATGACACATATCCATAGACCAAAGGACAAAGATGCTTCAATTATGAGCAAAACCAATGCCGTGAAGTAGGTTATAAAAGCCCCCGGCATAACAAAATGTCAATTATTGAAACTAGAAAAAGTGTAAATTGTCAACTTTTGTCTCCTTTATAGATTTTAAGAAGGCATACGATACAATTGACATGTCATTATTGTTTAACAAATTAAATGATATAGGTATTAGTACAAAGTTTATGTTTGCTTTGCAAGCCATTTATTCAAATATAGAATGTTGAGTTCGTGTGAACGGTAACACTACTGATTGTTTTAGTGTTAACACTGGTTTGAAACAAGGATGTGTTTTATCCACAGTCATGTTTGATATTTTCATTAATAAGTTAATTGATGATATAAAAGAATTAAATGTTGGTATAGACATTCACGGTGAAAAGGTTGCTAATTTGTTATATGCAGACGATCTTGTATTATTGTCTGAAAATAAAGAAGATATGCAGAAATTGATTGATGTAATAGGTGTATGGTGTAGTAATAATTGCTTAAAAGTTGATTTAAGTAAATCAAAAATCATGCATTTTAGAAATCCCTCTGTGATAAGATCAGATTTTGTTTTTAATATAAATGGTAAAGTCATTAAATATGTTTCTAGCTATCAATATTTAGGATTGGTATTAAATGAATTTTTAGATTATAAAGTTATGGCAAAGGCAGCTGCAAAGTCAGCAAGTCGAGCATTAGGCATTCTTATTGTAAAATGTAAGGCACATGATGGCTTCCAACACAATATTTTCACCAAATTGTTTGACACTTTAGTTTGGTCGGTCATCAATTACAGCTCAGCTATTTGGGGTACGAGTGAGTTCTCTTCCATTCAAGCAGTTCAAAACCGAGCCATGAGATTTTATATGGGAGTTGGAAAGTATACTCCCAGATGCTGTTTCAGGTGACATGGGTTGGAAGCCTCCATATGTTAAACAGTGGACTAACATTTTAAGACACTGGGTTAGATGTACAAAAATGGATAATGACAGAATAAATTATAAAGTGCACAAATGGTCAATTAGAAAAGCCAGTTATAAAATCGAAAATTGGAGTTATAAAGTTATGGAAATGTTGAAACTTTACAATATGGACGAATTTTGTAATGTAGATGAGTATATACTGGATAAAAATACAATGTATCAGTTAGAAGATAATATTTTTGATAATTATAAAAATGAATGGAGTACAAGGCTTGATTCTTATGGTCAAGGAAATAAGTTGAGAACTTCAAGTTATAAATTGTTTAAATTTTCATACTCTACTGAACAATATTTGTTACAAAATATACCTACTCGGTATCGCAGTGCACATGCTAAATTTAGATGTGGAGTAGCACATTTAAATATTGAAACTGGTCGTTACGAAAGATTAGATATAGATAAAAGATTGTGTTTCAATTGTGATAATATAGAAGATGAAAAACATGTATTGTTAACATGTCCATTATATGAACAGATGATGCAAAATTTATATTTTTATTCAAAATGAAAATGTTTGTAGTTCTGTTGCCAAAACCTGCCATAATATTTTATTGCGACAAAATAGTATTTTATATCGTTGAAATTTGAAGATGATATTTTTATGTACATGTACATGTATCGTTTTTATCCTTGAATGTGCATGGTGATATTGTACTTTTATTTTTTGTGTAAATAGCAAAACTATGTTTTATTCTGATGTTTTAATTAGGTATATAACAGTCTCTCGTAGTTCTTTTAAGAATGGCACATGCGTTCTAAATTTTATATTGTGTATTAAGGTAGATAGGGTGTCTTCCTCCATCTTGGATTTTGAAATACCAGAAAACAATCGGTCTAGATCTTTAATAAAAGGTGCAAATTTTGAGAGAAGTAGGTAATTCATGTGTAAGAATTTTCATTTCTATATAGAAAAATGACATATTTTATCATATTTATGGTTGTATTTTACAAAAAAACAGAATACTTTTGTTTGATTCTATTTTTTCCAACTTTGCCACATAAGGGGAGGCAACTCAAATGTAAGGGCAGATAATTCAGATAAAAGTTACTTTTACAATAGAATGTGTTAGAAATTTACCTATTTTATTATGTAGCAAGAAAACGGGTCCCGTGACCCCATTTTTTCTTTTTCTTATCTGAAAGCATACTATTAGAGCTATCTTCTCATATTTTATCTCAAAATTCTATGGTGTAGTTTTCGTTTTATGGCAGAAAATTGGGTTTTCCATGCATAATCTATACAAAATCTGTCAATTTTGCACAACCTATAGCGTGAAAATAAGCCCCGTGACCCATTCTTTTTATTATTTTTTTTAAAAAGCATGATATAAACTACATTTTGGCAAATTATTAAAAAATTCTATGGATTATAATTAAGACACCCCATCTACCTTAAATGTCATATTGTGTTTATACTTGTATGTATGTGGTGAGACTATAATAAACTATTGAACTTGAAAAACAGTTCAAAAGAGAATAGCTATAGTCTGATTTACAAGACATCAAAGAACGAAAATCCAATTAATTATGTCAGGCTGCAACAAACGGCAATTACTGTATTCCAAGTTCCTAGCATGGCACGGGCACATAAAGAATGTAGCGGAGTTTATCATGTTTGACAGCGCTTAATATAAGCCAGTGGGCGTAACAACACAACATACATGTAAGAACAAAGTCATAAAAATCAGTTGGAAAGGGCTTGACTCATTATATCAGTACCTTTCACAAACATAATTAATAAAAACATCCGGAAGGTATCAAAGGGAAAATAAATAATCTCAATTATAAAAACCCCGACAATACCATGGCTAAAAACCCCGACAATACCATGGCTAAAAAACCCGACAATAACATGGCTAAAAACCCCGACAATACCATGGCTTAAAACCCCGACAATACCATGGCTAAGAACCCCGACAATACCATGGCTAAGAACCCCGACAATACCATGGCTAAGAACCCCGACAATACCATGGATAAGAACCCCGACAATACCATGGATAAAACCCCGACAATACCATGGCTGAAAACCCCGACAATACCATGGCTAAAAACCCCGACAATACCATGGCTAAGAACCCCGACAATACCATGGATAAAAAAAAACCGACAATAACATGGCTAAAAACGAAAAAAAAAACACTCAAAGACACAACAGTCGACAAAATACTAAAAAAAAACTAAAGACTGAACAACACGCAATCTTCGGTGATCTCAAGTTCTCCTGACAGGTAAGCAGATCCTGGTCCACGTGTGGCACCTGTTATTTTGCTCATGGTAAGTACAAATTTGATTATAAATGTCAAAATTAGTAGTAAGCAAAAGGGATGGAACTACGTAGACGACAATAGGAACATACCCGTTGTCACCTGTGACACAGATATCCCATAGCGATCACCTAAAATCTGGATGGCGTCCGTAAATATTTCAAAGGAATGACCAACTTTACAACTAGGAACAATTGGTTTAAAAGCTTCATTGTCAGTAGCGACCCTCTATAAACATTATGATAGGAAACGCAAGCTCTGAATTGTCGAATTAACTGGTATATACATATATATATATATATATATATACTCTACATGCAGACGATGCATGAATGTTGCTACATAAAAATGGAAACTTTTCAATAAGAAAGCTGTAATGATCATTTTTAATCCGACCCTCATTGTCAATTTCTAGATGAAAGTCAAGATATAAGGCAGAATTTATGACTGTGTAGTGACCAAAAATATTTACTTATATTAATGTCATTTGGTCTGGTGGATAGGTGTCTCATTTGCAATTATCCCACATCTCAAATCACATTTATATTAACTGTATCTAGGACATTTTTAGTTTTAAGTTCGATTATCTATAACATCCTTAGTTTTAAGATGGGATAGACGAGTTAAACAAAGTCACCAAACTTACACACTTATTTGTGTAGATGACTTCATCTTTACAGCCGAACTTAAAGTTGAATAAAAACGCTAGTTTGTTTTAAAAGAAAAAACATAAATAGTTATCAAAGGTACCAGGATTATAATTTAATACGCCAGACGCGCGTTTCGTCTACATAAGACTCATCAGTGATGCTCAGATAAAAATAGTTAATAAGATGCACATATACAATGTTCTTTCAAGGTGATTTTGTTCAAACTTTAATTTAGTTGAAGGCTGAAAAAGAGACTGAAGCTACCAAAAGGAACACGAACACGTTGAACTAGACGAGAAAAAGCAATGAGTTCACTTAGTGTACATAGACTTTATTTGAATAACTTAAGTTAACTGTCATAAACAGGAATCATTAAAATCTTGAGTTTTTAACATAAAATTATATATTCCATATATGTGTATAAAACAAATTATAAACATTAATGTGTTAAAGTCATAAAATGATTTAGGCTAATAAACTACTAAAAGAATTTGAAAAACAAGTCCCATGAACACTTTATACGTGCACGATGATTAATTGATAATTTGATAAACATACAATTCGATGTATTTCGTGTTTTTGAACAATAAAGTCACTCAATTGATATGTTACACATAGAGTGTGTCGATCACGATGAAACGAGAAAAGGTCATGAGACATGCAGTACTGAAAATATAGGGTTTGTTGGATACAGGAAGGAACTGTAAAATCCCATTAAAACAGTTGTTGCAAAATATAGGGGTTTGTTGGATACAGGAAGGAACTGTATAACCTCATAATACAGATGTTGAAAAATATAGGGTTTGTTGGATTCAATAGGAAATTGTATAACCTCATAAAACAGATGTTAATAGAAATAAGAAGATATGGTATGAGTGCCAATGAGACAACTCTCCATCCAAGTCACAATGTGTAAAAAGTAAACAATTACAGGTCAAAGTACGGCCTTCAACACGGAGCCTTGGCTCACACCGAACAGCAAGCTATAAAGGGCCCCAAAATGACTAGTGTAAAACAATTCAAACAGGAAAACCAACGGTCTAATCTATATAAAAAACGAAAAACACTTAAGAACCACATCAACAAACCACAACCACTGAAACAGGTTCTTGACTTCGGACAGGTGCAAACAAACGCAGCGGGTTTAAACGTTTTAACAGGCGCCAACCTTTACCCTAACCTGAAATAGTAGAGTAACATTACAACATAGAAAGACACACTATAAAATATAAATTGAAATGGTTGGTTGCCAAATATAGGGTTTGTCGAATATGAGAAGAAATTGTATAACCTTATAAAACAGATATTGAAAATACAGGGTTTGTTCGATATGAGAAGATATTATATAACATTATCAAACAGATGTTGTAACATATAGGGTTTGTTCGATATAAGAACGAATCATATAACCCATAAACCAGTTGTTGCAAAATATAGGATTAGTTGGATATTGGGTGGAATTGTACAATCCCATTAACAGTTTTTGCAAGGCTTTTTTTAGTAATTACAGAGAGCATACCAGGCACTTCCCCTACATGAGCCAGTGGATTCAACTACCTAATTCCGAACGAATGTAGTTACGTTTTATGCACAACCAGCTAGCCAAACAGATGCTCCTCACAAGGACGGGCTTAACTGGCTGCCGGACAAGAAGATTGGGGAACATAAATCTATACACTGATCAACTCTTAGGGTTATCATTATGATTTGAAGTCGAATCGAACAACACTGTATTTACTTATTTTCATTCTAACCGTTAATTAACTTATATCTTATGAGTCTATATATATATCTAAAATAAAATCTTCATCGTCAATTTTACGAGCTGAACCCTTGTCAGTTGTAACTTTTTTTTTTAAATTGCCGCTGTAACCGAAAATTGTGAACATAAAACGTTGTTAAGTGTCAAGTAGTATATTCTTCAACCCGGTTTTTTTTTCTTTGTATGGACGTGACAACCATCAACACTTGCCTTTAAGTATTGCCATATTATGTCAAGCAAATTGTTGACAATTTACTGAAAAGCATGACCATGTAAAACATAATGCTAATTAGATAAGTAAAACGTTAATGTTAGACAAGACAATAAATTGTCACACTCATGGCCTTTTTTGAACAGACTGGTGTCCTAAAAGCATTATTTCAGCTTCGGGAAAGAATTTTATGGCGTCAAACATCCGAAACATAACAAATAAAGTGCTACTGCTTCCGATATATTTCACCAGAGAGACATTTATTAATTTATCACGTTCCTGGTAACATGTATAAAAACAAAGGATAAGAAAATCAAACTGCCTTTATGGAAAAAATTCCAACTTGCGTTAATATTAGGTTAATATTGGGTTAATATCGTCATTAGATTTATTCGAATTTTTTATATACACAATGGAAATACGCGTGAATTGCAAATAAGAAATTATCCAGAACAATTATCTTTAACTTTGTTGACCATTTCATCCTGAACAATTAATTGATTTTTACACTTTGCCAAGATAAAAAAAAAAGATTCGAGCCCAATATTCTAAATGTTTACAATTGGTAAATTTATGCCTTTTTATTGGTATTATATTGACGACTTAATTGTTTTGTACTAGATGGATGTTATATATAACGACTTCAATGCAGCAACTGGTTAATTCTTAGAAGTATTCAGTCCATCTATTCATCAACCATTTCTTCCGGCTTTTCTTTATCAAGTTAAATACCCTAATATCTTTAGATTGAGTACTAAACGTGTGCGATTTCGTATTGGTCTGTAGTTGTTGATTACTAATTTATCAGTTGTCTACGAATGATATATTTTATAGGAAAAATACATGTAGTATCAAATATTGATGAATATTAAAGATTACTTGTTTAATTTTCTGAGGTCCTTCTTAAATTTCCATCAAGATTTAGACTCTTTCAATGTCGTAAAGCCAAGTTCCTTTCTCCTAACTACAAATTCTGGTGAAGTATCGAAAATAAAAACGGCTAAAAAATCCTTGGGATTCTTTCTGTCTTAGTCAAATATGTATGACAACTGGTTGATCACCGTATTAAAAGATTTCGAAAGGAGCTTTATACAAGATTGTTATACTAAATCAATTTCATGACTGAGAAACAAATTAATACTTTCTGTTTTCTTTTGACAAACTAGCCTAGTATCATTTGAATTATTCATGCTTTGAAACGACACTCAACATGTTATTTTTTATTGTTCAAATGATGTATTATAGAAAATGTCGGTCTTCGAAAATAGACAGTTATCTATAGAAAATGTTGGTCTTCGAAAATAGACAGTTATCTATTATAGAAAATGTCGGTCTTCAAAAATATACAGTTATCTATCAATCTGTGTTACACGCAGTAGTTTGTTTTCTGCGTAATAATTTGTGTACTATGATCTGTCTTTTCTTCATTTTCTTTTCGTTTTGCCAATGCGTTGTTTATATTTCATTACGATCGACTTATGATTACATGTCTTCCATTGAAATTAAGTACAACGATCGGTGTTCCTTTTTAAAGATTTCACCTCAACATATATTATGTTTCTGAAATAATGTCGTCATGATCACGAGAAAGAAACACAGTTGAGATATAAAACTCTCAGAAAATACATAGATGGAGCCTATAGCTGTGTGAGGAAATTTAAATTTTGGATTCAATAATATTGCTGCGTTTAGATAAAATTTAACTTGCGTTTTGTTCTTAAACATTAAAGCATTTTCCCTAGATCCTAAATCGTTAACATTCAAACAACGACCAAAGGGGGACAACTAGAATATATCAGGTGCAAAACTATCAGTCAACTATCCTTTCCAGTTTCGTCGACATCTAGCCGATTGTAACGTTCTTTAAGCAAAGCCAACACTGGGATACATGATACTATACCACCTAGCATACACCAAGAGGCCCAGTTTGTACCTGGAATGAGATCAAACATATTAAGCTTTAAAATATCTCCTCGGGTATTAAGACTTTTAACATGTACATTATGTTAGAATTATAATCTCCTGTTTCTCAGGACGCTGCCGCCTATGAAAGATCATATGGTTCGCTTTACAGCAAAAGCCTATTTGTTAGTTTTCTTTCTCAATTACTTACAACACACCTCTATTTAAAGGTTTACAAGAGCTAATAAAATTAATATTTAATTACATGTAGTAATATTGTCAGGTTTCTGGATATTAAAATATAAGCTGCAAGTCACGATATGAAACTTTTTTGGCGAGTAAGTGATCTTTGTAGATGAAAAATTTGATAATTAATTTATAGAATTATAATGATTTTCAAAATGAAGTAAATCATTATTTTAATTTTTATTTGCTACGCCTTCATCTTACCTGGTAATACTTATTAATGAATTCCCTAGTTATGTCATTATTTACCAAGGTTTTGTAGGACGTCGGGTTTGTATAATTAAAACCCATGAATAAACTCATCATAGATACCAGACACCAAGTCATGTACGCCAGACGCGCGTTTCGTCTACAAAAACTCATCATTGACGCTCGACTGATAAAAAAAAGTAAAACAGGCCAAATAAAGTACGAAGTTGAAGATCATTGAGGACCTAAATTTCCGAAAATCAATACGTGATTAAATAGTTAAAGTGTGTGCGTGATAATGTTCAAAGCATGCGCATGTGTACTTATATTACCTATATTTGGTATCATTTGTATAAGAAGGAATATAAGTCCACCAATATTGCTGCTGAGCGTCAACACAAGGTTAGTGATGCCCTCGGGAACGGGATATGCTGCTTCACACGCCATTTCAAAGAAAAGTGGCATTGTTGACGTCAGGAACATTGTCCCCGTTATTATTGATGCATATAACATAACTATGAAAAAAAATAATATCCGTATTCAACTGAATTCACTTTTTACAAGTATATTGTCAAAAGATAAAAAAAAAAAAAAAAAAAAAAAAAACAGGACAAGAATATTTTGGTTCATTAAATAATGTAATGCTAATATTTGGTGTTTTTTCATGTTGATCATATTTGGTCATGGCGTACATAATTACCAGCTGTACAGTAGGATTCAATCAAAGTGATTGTGATTACTGAAGGGTTGATATTTCAATAATTTTGAAGTGGGAACAAAAAAAATGGCAATCAACTGCAATTATAAACAAAGGAGGATAACTCTAATTTAATTATTAAAAGAGAGGCGAAGGATACCAGAGGGACATTCAAACTCATAAGTCGAGTTTGAATGTCCAATGACATTATGAATATGTTTTAGAATAGGTTCATGCACCCTGTACATGTTATGCATGTTTCTTGACAAGTATTGTCATACACATACACATCACTTTCTCCGTACATATTTCGTTGATAAATTTCTTGAAAAGTACATGGATATGGTTTACAGAATGTTGTGCTCAATGCACTATGTGTGTTTTATCTCAAAAGTAGTGATACAGTTTGAACAATTTATCACTGATCAAGCCAGCCCCATAAGGGTTTGATTGCATTAATGCAATCTTCACCCCAACAAAATGATACCATAAGAGCAAATTAAATCCTACCGAGTAAATGTAGAAATAATCATAAAAACCTGTCCTCCGAATAAATTTAAATTAAAAAATTAAGATGAATATTGAGCCATACGTTTACTAAGCATAGTCACTGTAAGTTTTCTTTTCTTTAAATGACCACGGGGTCCAGATACCTTACATTTTGACAATGCACGTTGACTGAAAGATTAGAATGAATTAAGTAAAGTATTGACCTTAGCCTTTTAGTAGCAACTTCCGTTGCCTCAACGGACTTAACCCCGGATGCTTTGGTGGTCGAGTGGTCTAGGTTGTCCATCTACTGTATTCATAGCCTGTCGACACTGAGGTTTTGAGTCCGAACCTTGTACGTGGCGAGTGCGTTCGATTGAAATCTCAATTGACTACCTTTGTTAACTTGTTTTAGAAAATAAATGGTATATCTTTTAACTAGAATTATAAGTTTTCCTGTGGAAGGTCGGAATAGTTCTCTCCGGGCACTCTGGCTTCCTCCACCATCACCTAACCAATAGTGCTGAAAGGGGCATTAATCACCAACAATCAAACAATGAATCAATACATCCAAGCCACGTGTTGGGGGGTATTTCACAGATAGTGCACAAACAAATCTAGTTACAACTTCAAACAGTCGAAAGGTAACCTTTTCAAATTAAATTACAAGCAAATCACCAAACATACTTGGTTTAGGCAGCTTTTAGAATTGTGCACCCTTTCACCATATACAAATATGTCAGATCTTGTGAATCGATTAATTGGTTAAATTTCCGATCTGAATAAGCATAAACTATTTGGCACTTGCTTTTGATAAACAATAACTAATCAATCGGCGAGTTACTAAATAAAAATCTATTTAGACGTAATTCTTGCCAAATCTCTCATTGAAAATCTCGAATCTGGAAGCTCTACCGTAACTACCTTAACTTATACATAAAATGAAGACTTACTTGTAGAATTCTGAATAACACCTTCAACGAGAAATATAAACCATACAAAACATCCGGTAGCAGATATGTACAGAAATAACAAAAATAATCTCATATGCCGTGCAAATACATCGGAAAATCTGAAACAGATTTCAAAATTTTATTGAATACATATAAAAACTTTAGATCTCTTATACTATAAGGAAAATATCGTGTTTGGAATTGTCTGATAGTCTTGAAAACTTTGTTTTAGAATCAAAATTGTAAAAAAATTTCAACACGAGAAAGGCTTGAAGAACGATAATGAGGCAGCGACATCAGTGAAGTCTAAAAGAGAAATAGAATAGAGGTCAAAATACGTCCCTCAACAATAGACAAGTGTCGTATTAATATTATAAAATCTAGATCCCCCAGTCGACAAAAGTCGTTACTAAGTTAATAAAATGTGCCATCAAACGAAAATTTCATATACTTAGTAGGTAAAAAATCATCAAGCATGACTATTACACATGTACCAGGTTTCTAAACATCTGACTTGGTTAAACTGGTGTTTTGAAAACTTAATCCTCCCTACTGGTTAATCGTAATGAGTGATAAAACAAAACCATATACACGTAATGTTCCCTTGAATAAATTCACTCTTAAAGGCTATCAAATTTGCATTGTAGTAAGATCTTTGAATGTTGTTTTTATCGATACTAACATTGTTTTATTTGATATATAATAGTTTAATACACAACTAAACACTCAATTGAATTGTTCCATATTTTTCATGTCGGGGCCTTTTATAGCCGACTGTACGGTATTGGTTTTTCTCATTGTTGCAGGCCGTACGGTTGCCTATAATTGCTTACATCCACTTTATTTTAACTTTGATGGATAGTTGTGTCATTGGCAATCATACCACATCTCCTTATTGATATATGTATTGTTATCCAGGCATAAATATTTATGGTCCTACATCCGGATCCTGCCGATACTTGTATTTTGACATTGCCAATGGTCATGTATTTCTAAGACTGCTTATGACGTCTTACCACTGAATCCGTTGGAGGTTACCTATTGACATTATAGTTTAGGAGAACATGATTTTTCCATTATTTGAAAGTAGACAATGAACTTGTTTTCAGTTACAGCGAGTGTTCTTAGATCAGAACTTTGTGTCTTTTGTATCATTTGCTTTTGTGCCATGTACCGATCTGATGATACAAGCGTTTCTAACTTATTTTAACAATGTGCTCTTATGTTTCATTTTAACACCACTGTCCCATATAAGAGAAAGATTGAACGCGCACAAACACTCGCGGTAACCCCTGCCGCATTCTGTATGTACCTTTCGTTAGCCAGGAAACTATAATACAATGACTGTCATATTTGTTTTTTCGTTCCTTGTTGTAGTATAAATCAAAAAAGTTAGTTTTTCTTTTGAATTATTTCACATTTTGTCATATCGCGATCTTTTACAGCTTCAAGTTTTTTGGGCTCATTGTTGAATGCGATGGCCTGTGATAATTATTGTTCACATCTTTGTCCTTTTTGATAGTAGTCGCATGGCTATTATACTCTAGAATTTATAACCTACAAGATTCGATAAACAAGCCCCTTTTGATGTCATGTTACAGCATACGTGAAATGCCCATATTCAATGAGAGTAATGAATTTATCCCCAAGATGACATTCCATATACTTTACTAATCTGCTGATAACAATTTCAGTACGGCATATGTTCAATATTGGAAGTTAATGACAAAATGCAAAGTTACAGCTCTGTATGTTTGTGGAGATTAGTTTGCATAAAAGACGAGTTTATATTCGTTTATAACATGCTATTACAAAATTTAGCAAAGTAATAGACGAAAGTGACTAATCATGCGCATTCGTATTCTAAATCTAGGATATTTCTGAAGAGGAAAATAATACTAGTCTTACTTTGCGAAAACAAGTGATGCAAGGCATCCTGCAATCATTGAGTAAAACCCAAGCCACCCGGCTTCATTCTACAAAAGTGCGGGTCATTTTAGTTCAAGAGCTAACACACTTATATATTTTGAGATAAGCATAGTTAGTTCGATTTTTTTATACATTTTTTTATGATGTGCCTTAATTAAATTCATAATTACTTTAAAAGATGCATAAATACACTTAAATATATCCTTTCTTTTTCAATTCATAAATAAAAGGTAGTTGTATGTGTCTGAAACCCGTGTTTATCCACCATGTTACCGGTAACTGCCTTCTTTAAGTTGTTATATTGTATGCGTTGATTGATTTTTTGCCTATGTTTAAAACGGTTTAGTTTGGTCTTGCAGTTTTCTGTTTTATAAATTGCAATGTATGACTTAATTGTAGTGCCATGCATTAGCAACAAAAACAGTTATCATGGTTTTATTACATACATATTTACTTGATCACTTGTAATAGTTCATACAGCTCCTAACGTGTCTACGTATTTATACATCCCTGGCTTTCTAATGTTTAGATGTAAGCGTCCATAATGAAGGTAAACCCATAAAAGCGTCATCGGACGAACAAAGCTACAAAGTGATATTTTTTTTTATTATAGTAAATAAATACCTGGGAAATATTATGTGGCTTCAAATTAACATCCAAAACACCCTGCCAGCTACTGAATACACCTTGTGAAACACCAAAGGTCAGGCAGATCAACCAGAATCTTACATTTCTACAGTATAAACGTTTAATGATCTGTATATTTTGGAAATTTGACCGGGTTTGTACTTACATGAGCACATGTGGAATAGAATCCGCTTACCCTTCCGGAGCACCTGATATCACCCTCGTTTTCTGTGTTGTGTTTTGTATACTGTTGTTTGTCTTTTGGTCTTTTTCTTTTTTTGCCATGGCGTTGTCAGTTTATTTTCGACTTATGAGTTTGAATGTCCTTACGGAGTCTTAAGCCTCTCTTTTGATGTGCGATAAGTTCGGAAATAATAATATTATTAATCCATGAAAAATATCTTCAGTTGCCTCTCGTCAAATTACAGTTTACTGTAAAAACTCGAATTTGAAATTATCAAATGATAGTAGAATTAAAGGTTAAATTGGTATCTACTACTCAAGTATATACTTCATGTATTCCTATTTCTATTAGTGTCGTCTCATAGATGACATAGATAGTTCTTTTTCTGGACTTCGGACGTTTTGAGGTCATCTGTTATTTTTAAGTTGTGTGTGGAATTAAATAAAAACAAATGTACTGCTTATAACCTGTTTTAACCAACCGAATATTTTGGTGACAAACCTTAACAGATCTTTGATACCAGAACGAAAATCTAGACGTGCCACTGAGGCTGATATTGTAGGTGGGAGGTCAGGTTTCTTTGGATAGTATACTAACATCAGCAAAAATGCAATCACAATAAAGCACAAATCTGTAAAAATAAACAATAAATATAAAGCAGAAATCAGTAAACACCAAAAGGTTATCAATAGACAATTAAAGAGTAATTATTTATTCGAAAAGTTAATATATATGTTGCATGCAGTTATGATTAAATGAGTATATTTTATTACAATTAAAATAATGTTATTTCTCCAATCATTCTAATATTAGATACATAGACGTTGACATTTTCAAATGCAGGACATTTTGATCAACATAATTCTCTTAATCTTCAATTTAAGAAATTCTAAAATTAAGAAATGACTTAAAACTACCTTGTCGCCCTCTTTTTGATAACTTATTCCAGTAAGGTTATGCGTTTTTAAGACTATAAAATCAACTCTTAATTTTACAAAATCTATAGTCACCAACACGAAGCTTTTGATCGTGATTCGTTTTATTTTTATATTTACAGCTTATGACAGAACCATAAGTGTCTTGATACTTACTGCTACTGGTAAAGCTTGACCTTTCTATTCACGTGTTTAAGTATATTTGCGGCTCACGTTTTTACTCTCATGTTTGTCGTTAAATGCATGGGAAATTGAATTTCAGGTGACCTTGTCATAGAGCAGAGTTACGAAGAACGACTGAACTCGATACTATATAAGTTTTACGGTCACCACCACTAATTGTTTGACCGATGTTGTTGTGTCGGTATCTCAACTAATTAGCGACATGCTTTCACGGTCTTACAATTGTCGACTTCTCATTTCTCAGCAGTAACATACCTGTCAATGCACCCGGTCTCGCTCCTTTTTTAATTCATGTGATACCCTCAGTTTCTGTTTTGTTTCCTTGATTTGTCTTTTCCTAATCGATTTCTTATGTTCTTCAATAAATAATGTCAACATACTATCTTGTTATCTTTTTATCTCAACAATATGTATGCATCATTCTTACCGTAAAGCATGTATCTGCTGATGTCGTGACGTTCAGTTATCATATTTGTTTCTGTAAAATTATAAAATGTAAAATAAAAACATAGTTACAGAACCCGAAGTCATTTCAGTAAATTATTTTGTGAACAGAATAAAGTAATAAAATTTAAAGCTTATGCGATAACCACTGTCAGAAAATAAAATTAATTTAGACAAAGGAATATGATTGGTATGTGTTAAAATTAAGTCCATACTGGAGCATTTTAGACTACTAGCTAGAACTAATGATAATTAGAAAATTACCAGCGGAACAGTTGAAATGACCCAGTACTACAACTATAGCAAGCAATTCAGATTTAGTTTGAAATGTATCTATTTTTCTCTGATTTCTTTATATAACTGTTATTTGGCCAGACTTAAAGCATTAAAATTTGATAATATTGCTTAGTTTAAAACTGAGAATGCTATGTCTCAGTACAGAGAATTAATAGGGTGTTTTACAGGACCCTTTTATACAAATCATTTTTTGTAAGTCCATAGAATACCAACGAAACCATGAAACAGAGCTACCTACGTCTTAAAAAGACAAACTATATGATACTAAATGAATATAATTTGGCTTATAATATTACACATAAGTTAATTATGAAAATATCTATCCTTTTCACAAGTAATAGCAACACGACGGTACAACATGTGGAGCACGGTCTGCTTACCCTTCCACAGCACCTGAGATTGTGGCCTTTTTCGTGTTTAGCCATTGCGTTGTCAGTTTATTTTCGACTGATGAGTTTGAATGTCCCTTTGGTATAGTTCACCTCTCTTCTCTAAAAGAGAGACGAAAGATACCAAAGGCATATTCAAACTCATCAGTCGAAAATAAACTGACAACGCTATGGCTAAAAAAGAAAATGACCAACAGACAAACAATTGTACACAAAACACAACATAGAAAACCAATGACTGAGCAACAAGAACCCTATACAATGTACAAAGCAAACTACAACAGTACAGAACACGTTTGATTTCAAGGCAGATGTTATAATCAACAATACGATGATATGACTGTCATACAAGTGATAGGTTTAGCTAGCTATAAAACCAGGTTTAATCCACCATTTTCTACATAAGGAAATGCTTGTACCAAGTCAGGAATATGACAGTTGTTTTCCATTCGTTTGATGTGTTTGGGCTTTTGCTTTTGCCATTTGATAAGGGACTTTCCGATTTGAATTTTCCTTGGAGTTCGGTATTTTTATTATTTTATGATACATGTAGAAAGTATAATTAATCGATAGCTATATGTATGGTCAGGTATTCTCAGGAAAATAGACGACAACACATTCGCACATGAAAACATTAGACAACACATAAAAAAAGCTTGTGAACAAACTACCTTATACCACGGAAATGATTAGTTTATAAATACAATATACAGATATAAATAAATATAAAATATGATAAATAAAAAGAATGTAGTTAATACAACTTACGATTCGTGCAGTTATTTGTGATACTCCCATCAAAATTACTATAAAAATAATTAAAATTATTATTTCATCTTTATACATTGCGTACTAGTCTATAAAACATGCAAAAACCTGAGGTTGACATATACGAAAGAATAAAAGTCTGATATAACCAATGCATAAAAGAACCATACTTGTGTTACTTTTCTGCATTTTCTTGTTATATTCGGTTTAAAATCGCACGTCATGATAAAAAAGGGTGAAAATACAAAAGACAACATTGTTTGTTATTTATTATGAAATAAAAGTAGGTTGGACGAGTCATGAAGAGTAAGCAACGATTAAAATTAACATGAGGATCAACAGACAGCAGACAATGCAATAAACCCCCATTAAAAGAAGCCGGTTGTAGGCGCATGTGATATGTACAGCGAGATGTACAATTAAAAGAGCACGTTTACCATGGCATATGCATAGTTCAAACAAAAAAAACACCTTTCCCGTTTCGAAATGCAAAAAAAAAAAATATGTCCTGTAGCGAAAAAAAAAATCCATACAAGGTTCTCAAATCAATTAAAGTCATATGAAACTTCAAATTTAAAAAAAAAGTTAAATATGTTTTATATACTTTAATGGGTAAGTTTTGCTATAAAACAAGTGTACGTGATCTTTCTTGTAAAAGAAATCCTTTATATTATCAAAATCTTTATAAATGTACTCCTACACTAATTCGCCGATATTTTCCCGTATACAGTGCCCTTAACTACGAGACCTCTCGTTACAACTTCGGCTACCGCACAGCGCAAAACAGTGATGAAAGAGTGTAAACAAACGTGCACTGGAAGGTAAATAGTAATAACTTATTCTTAAAGAACAAATTTAATACAACAAATCATTTAACAACTGTTATGGAAAATTTTAATTAACTAATTGGGAACGCATGGAAACAATAAAAAAAAACAAATATCATGGCCCTATCAATTTACTTATTTGTCACGAGCTCCACATGCTATGTGTTGATTGTTTATCAACGTCAAGATCCGGTAAACATCAGCAACAAATCTCGAAAGTGAATTAGCATTCGATCAACAATCACTGAATGAAAAATTATTTGTCGATAATACGTTATAGATTCGTAATACATACAAAAAAAAACGTGCATAGGCTACAGGACTTAGTTTAGTATATATGCATGCATTGGTTTAATAATTTCGATAACATTTAAATTACTTTAAAACCTCGTTTGATATGGCTATAAATTTTACAGACGTTGTTAAATGGAAATAATGGTTACAAAAGTAAAAAATGAAACTATAATATTTATGCGTTTGCAATTAATTGATACAACTAAAATGGATAATAAGCAGGTGAAATTGGAACGATCGTCATATCTGTGTTGTGAGATTGTACTATATAGTATCACATGTATCGTAAACACTTGTTATACAATGCTGCTAAATCGTCTCTGGTTAGCATAATGAAATCTTTCTGTAAAGTCTGACTTATTATGAAGGATGAAATGAGGACAATATGAATTATTGGATAAAAGAATAAGGAGACGAACGGTACTAGTTTTACCCCACCAGATTCGCATTTCGTCAGCTATTATCTCTGGTGATGCCTAAGGCCAAAATAGTTTCAAATCCTCATATAAACGTTGAAAAGATAACGACAATATAACTAAACTTTCAGGAAAATAGTACAGATTTAAAAAAAAAGAAGGTTAGTTATCACGCACCTGCTTATGTTAATTACTGTGTCTTTGACATTACAAGAACCTCTAAACGGCACTAAGTGTGGTCCTACAATAGTTTTAACAAACATTTATAAATAATTTAAACATATTATGATATGTGCAAGCGTTCGTTATTTAAATATATGCATAACGTTCTTTTTTTTTTTGAAACAATTTGGCGTATGCAGCAAAAGATTATTCAAAGCATAGCCATCTGGAAGATGTGAACAAGATAAATCTGTGGTTTATTCATTTAGATAAAAACAGAAAGTGTTTTAAAATGTTTTATTTATGAATGCTGATATATACTACTTTGAGAAAACTATTAAAATTACAATAATTTCCCAAGAACAACAGTTGTTTCCTTATTCGTGAATTGGAAATGTTTATTGTATTTCAAAGAAAGAAAAAAGAGATTTACCTTATAGGAAATCGAAATAATGATTTTGATTACACACCAACGTTTAACAACTATCTTCAGTCAATATTGATCTTCGATCACGTTAATGTGATATTAACTACTATTGACTGCACATACCCAATGTAAATGATAGGGCGGATCCTACACTGTTTAAAACTGTATTTAGTGCAGTGGCAGTAGTTCTTTCGTTAGCAGGAAACCATAAGGCTGACAGAACAGGTGGAGCACCAAATGCTATTGGTCCAGCTAAACCATTCAATAACTGCCCAATGTTACTTGTCCTGCAAAATAAGAACAATAGTATCCAAAATAAATTTTGAGCTAAAGTATTTTATGTTCAATTGATCTGTTACCTACGTGAACGTAGAACTTGTAAAATGATAACTGGTGTACAACCTCAGAGCATTGTTAGAGTAGAATTTAATATTACATGTTTTTAAAGGCATTTTAAGCGAACATTTATGAAAGCTAGCTTTGTATTGCATTTTTTGTTTATTTCAAATTGAGTTTCAAGAATTATTTGCTTACGTTTTAGACGTTAGGGAAAAGTTTGTTTGCACTTAAAACTGATTTAACCACACCACACTGCTTGCCTGTACGATGTCTGCCTGAGGCTATGTAGACTATGCATTCGTATGTGTTAATCTTTATTTTCAAGACCGTTTTTGTCGAAGACGTCGGGTGTAGGTGGATGATGTGGTCTGTTTTTGTCGAAGACGTCGGGTGTAGGTGGATGATGTGGTCTGTTTTTTGTCGAAGACGTCGGGTGTTGGTGGATGATGTGGTCTGTTTTTGTCGAAGACGTCGGGTGTTGGTGGATGATGTGGTCTGTTTTTGTCGAAGACGTCGGGTGTAGGTGGATGATGTGGTCTGTTTTTGTCGAAGACGTCGGGGGTAGGTGGATGATGTGGTCTGTTTTAGTCGAAGACGTCGGGTGTAGGTGGATGATGTGGTCTGTTTTTGTCGAAGACGTCGGGTGTAGGAGGATGCTGTGGTCTCTTATACGGTATTTTGGGGATTCCATGTAGTCTTTTTCTTGTTTAACATCATTGTAAATTACATAGATATTTCAAATTCCTTTTTCTGTTTTTCTACAGACTTTTAGGATGAGTGCCTCACATTAATGTTGAATTCAGAAAGCTATGGGAGATATCTGAAATTTTTTATGCTAAATAACAACACAATGATAAGGAACTAGATGCGAAAAATGAGAATAAATAAATCGATATCAAGATGACAACACACATACGCAACAAACAAAAAGCAAAAACACTGGTGTAAAGGAAAAGAAGAAATTCTTCTTAAAACATTCACACTCAGATTTCTGCAATACGATCTCGTATCAAAACCGAAAATAATAAATTATGCTCCGAAGGGGTAAACTATTTATTTTGTACAGTACATATATTATTAATTATATACACGGAATTGGTTCCGTACGTTATTTTATTGGAATCAAATAATTTTCTCCTCACAAAATGAAAAACAAGATAAGTGAATGGGTTTCTATCGGTAGAAATATTAATTGATTGTATTAGTCAAACCTTTCCCTTCCTCTTGTATATGTATGTAACATTTTGGAAGACTAACGTTTTATAACAATTTTTGTCATCATTATCATTATAGTAAATCAGTATGTATATCCTAAATAACTATTTATAATTACCACGTGACGTATGTTGGATCTGTTGTAATACATCGTGCAACAGCGCCCATGAGAGTCAGAAATGTAGCTGTTAATGATGCAACTCTAATACCTGAAATGCCACATATATAGCAACATTTACAGAGCTTGTCTCTTGTGTTGTGTTGAGACCGTGAATAGTTTCTCATATTTTGCAGTTATGACGTCTTTGATCGAGGTAACTTTTCATATGTGTAGTTCTTTCTCGCTTGGTCTGTATTTTTATCGAATCGAATTGGTCTGTAGTCCAACCGTTTTATATGCCCTACTTATGCCATGTTAGCTAACACTCACCTTGATGTACAATATTGTTCTCTGAATGTGTGTATTTTATTTTGGATTTTACAGTGAGAATGTCAGATAAATAATAACAGTTTTTCTTAAATTCTTTGTTCGTTAAAATCTGACATTTGATGATATGCCCGGTATTTATGTCCTTCCATCCACCACTTTGTCATTATCTCGACACCAAGATTTCATTTAAACCGACGAATTGTCAATGATTTTTAAGCTTCAAATTGTATATGAAGAACAACATTGCTCTGGATTTTCCAAAGTGCGTGTAGGGATTTTGTGTAATGAATTAATAAATATCTATCTTCGTTCTTCCCTATTTAACTAAATACCCATTGTGTTAACTAGGTTTCAGTATTGTTTGCCGTTATATTGAGTGCACCTTATTTATGTTTTATGTTAACTAGGTTTCAGCGTTGCTTGCCGTTATATTGAGTGCATCTTATTTATGTTTTATGTTAACTAGGTTTCAGCGTTGCTTGCCGTTATATTGAGTGCATCTTATTAATGTTTTATGTTAACTAGGTTTCAGCATTGTTTGCCGTTATATTGAGTGCATCTTATTTATGTTTTATGTTAACTAGGTTTCAGTATTGTTTGCCGTTATATTGAGTGCACCTTATTTATGTTTTATGTTAACTAGGTTTCAGCGTTGCTTGCCGTTATATTGAGTGCATCTTATTTATGTTTTATGTTAACTAGGTTTCAGCGTTGCTTGTCGTTATATTGAGTGCATCTTATTTATGTTTTATGTTAACTAGGTTTCAGCATTGTTTGCCGTTATATTGAGTGCATCTTATTTATGTTTTATGTTAACTAGGTTTCAGCATTGTTTGCCGTTATATTGAGTGCATCTTATTTATGTTTTATGTTAACTAGGTTTCAGTATTGTTTGCCGTTATATTGAGTGCACCTTATTTATGTTTTATGTTAAGTAGGTGTCAGTATTGTTTGCCGTTATATTGAGTGCACCTTATTTATGTTTTATGTTAAGTAGGTTTCAGCGTTGCTTGCCGTTATATTGAGTGCATCTTATTTATGTTTTATGTTAACTAGGTTTCAGCGTTGCTTGCCGTTATATTGAGTGCACCTTATTTATGTTTTATGTTAAGTAGGTGTCAGTATTGTTTGCCGTTATATTGAGTGCACCTTATTTATGTTTTATGTTAAGTAGGTTTCAGCGTTGCTTGCCGTTATATTGAGTGCATCTTATTTATGTTTTATGTTAACTAGGTTTCAGCGTTGCTTGCCGTTATATTGAGTGCACCTTATTTATGTTTTATGTTAACTAGGTTTGAGCGGTGCTTTCCGTTATATTGAGTGCATCTTATTTATGTTTTGTGTTAACTAGGTTTGAGCGTTGCTTGCCGTTATATTGAGTGCATCTTATTTATGTTTTATGTTAACTAGGTTTCAGCGTTGCTTGCCGTTATATATAGTGCATCTTATTTATGTTTCATGTTAACTAGGTTTCAGTATTGTTTGCCGTTATATTGAGTGCACCTTATTTATGTTTTATGTTAACTAGGTTTCAGCGGTGCTTTCCGTTATATTGAGTGCACCTATTTATGTTTTATGTTAACTAGGTTTCAGCATTGTTTGCCGTTATATTGAGTGCATCTTATTTATGGTTTATGTTAACTAGGTTTCAGCGTTGTTTGCCGTTATATTGAGTGCATCATATTTATGTTTTATGTTAACTAGGTTTCAGCATTGTTTGCCGTTATATTGAGTGCATCTTATTTATGTTTTATGTTAACTAGGTTTCAGCGTTGTTTGCCGTTATATTGAGTGCATCTTATTTATGTTTTATGTTAACTAGGTTTCAGCGTTGCTTGCCGTTATATTGAGTGCATCTTATTTATGTTTTATGTTAACTAGGTTTGAGCGGTGCTTGCCGTTATATTGAGTGCATCTTATTTATGTTTTATGTTAACTAGGTTTCAGCGTTGCTTGCCGTTATATTGAGTGCATCTTATTTATGGTTTATGTTAACTAGGTTTTGGCGTTGTTTGCCGTTATATTGGGTGCATCTTCTTTATATTTTATGCTGACTAGGTTTAAGCGTTGTTTGCCGTTATATTGAGTGCATCTCATTTATGTTTTATGCTAACTAGGTTTATATGGAAGGGGATATCCGCAATAATTATACATTTCTTAATTTGTAAAATGCGCAATTTCTTAATTTGTAACATGTATTTTTCCCATCGTTATATGAATTTCTGCAATTCTTGATTTGTGAAATGTAACTTCTTAATGTGTGAATGCAATTTCTTAATTTGTAACATGAATTTTCCCATCGTTATATGAATTTCTACAATTCTTGATTTGTGAAATGTAATTAATGCAATTTCTTAATTTGTAAACGTTTTTTCTTCCTTCGTTACATGAAATTCTACATTTTTTTATTTGTAAAATATAATTTCTTTGTTTGAGTCACGTTTTGGGAGAATGTGTCAGTGAAATCGTTACCGCTGTCAGCCAATGAGAAGTTCCGTTTCTCAAGAAAAACTACAAGTTACAAATCAAGAAGTTTTACAAATCAAGAATGAAATAGTTCCACAATATTCCACACGAGGTCGCTGTGGATCCAAGTCAACTCGTACCTTAGCCAACTCGTTCTCAATATCTACCAACTCGTACTTTTACCAACTCGTACCCAACATTTTATTATTTATACGCATTAAAGTTTTCTTGTTCTTTTATATAATATACAGATTACAATAGAGTACAACTTTATTGATTAGTAATCTGATGCAATTTGTTTTCAAATCAGAAATACCTAAAGTTAATCATTCGTCTTTAGAAGTAAGTGATTATATGAAATTATTAGAACGATAATTTATTTCATATATATGTTGAAAAATTATATTCATACAATGTTCTAATCAGTGATCATTAGTCAGTGCCGGGGGGAGGGGGCGGGGGGGGGGGGGGGGGGGGGGGGGTGGGGGGGTCCGATGGTTTAAAAGCCCTATTTGACAACTAATGCTTTTGTATGGAGACATATGGTTGGAACCCCCCTTTTTATATGTTGGAACCCCATTCAAAAATGGTTGGATCCGCAACTGATTTGTAGATAATAGGCTAGGACCTAAAAAAAAAAAGGCGAACAGTATGATCTTACATTTGTAATCATGGTTCGTATCTGTTACAGTATCTTAACTGTAAATTTAAAAACGTTTGGACTATGTTTTATTTCTTAAGCTGGCTTTATTGCTTCAAAACGATTAGAAAGACCTTCATATATAAACTAACTAGAAAATCTCTTGAACACAAGTTCAACGCAAAAGTCAGTAAAAAGTATCCCTCTCTCATATTCTATGGAGCTTTTTTTTACTGTTTTTTGCGTTGAACATGTGTTTAAGAAGATTATTTTAGTTAGTTTACATATGAAGGCATTTCGAATCTTTTTGATGCGATAAAGCCAGCACATAAATTCAAAATTAGTCAAAAAAGAAAACATAAATATAATCGTTTGGTAGGTTTAAATTATCTAAGTTAGTTAACATCGCTTCAACAAAAATACAGATATCATGTCCAAGCAAAATGTCAATGAAATCTGGAGACAGCAGTCTTTTCTTCAGCCCACAACCGTTTAAGAAACAAAGCGTTAAGCTATCGTTGTTCAATTCATATTCACTATTTACGGTTTCATTACTGGTCGATTTCTTTTTAGATAGTCCTCTTGCACCAACCCCCTATCTGCCAGAAGTCGGTGGAGCATTTGCGATTGGTGGACGAGGGGACGGCCCCTGTTGCTGTCTTTTACTAGGTGGGATATCACTAGAGTAAGACCCTTTTGGGGGTTATGTCCTGATTTGTTGACGAAGAGCTGGTACGCTCTGTCCTAACTTCGTCTAATACAGTAACAGTAATATAGAGCTGATTGTCTAAGACGAATGATTAACTTTAGATATTTCTGATTTGAAAACAAATTGCATCAGGTTACCAATCAATAAAGTTGTATTTAATTGTATTTGTATGTTTCTATATTATATAAGATAACATAACAACTTTAATGCATATAAATAATAAAATATTGGGTACGAGTTGGTAGAGATATGTGTTGGTTGAGTACAAATTGGCGAATGTACGAGTTGACGTGGATCCACAGCGACCTCGTGCAGAATATTGTGAAACTATTTCATTCTCGATTTGTAAAACTTCTAGATTTGGAACTTGTTGATTTGTAACTTGTAGTTTTTTTTGAGAAATGGAACTTCTCATTGGCTGGCAGTGGTAACAATTACACTGACACATTTTCCGAAACGTGACTCAAACAAAGAATTTACATTTCACAAAATAAGAAATGTAGAATTTCATGTAACAAACGAAGAAAATACATTTACAAATTAAGACATTGCATTTACACATTAAGAAGTTACATTTCACGAATCAAGAATTGTAGAAATTCATGTAATGGATGGAAAAAATACATGTTACAAATTAAGAAATCACATTTTACAAATTAAGAAATGTATGGTTATGGCGGATATTCCATTCCATAGGTTTAAGCGTTGTTTGTCGTTATATTGGGTGCATCTAATTGGTGAATCGTGTTGTATCCGGCTAGGATCGTTCATTCTCGACATTTTTAATTTTCTTTCATCACAATAGATCAATATTTCATTGTGAGAATGACGTAGATTAGAAAAAGTTGCTCCTTGATTAAATATAAAAATATACATAACCGGTTTTGTGGCGACCCATGCATCATAGTTTGTGTGCCAAGTTACAAATGTTGAAGATTATGTTAACATCTTTATTATGTTGGTATTTTTGGTTTTTGTTTGGTTGCTGCCTCATTTACTCTCAAATAGGTTTTTTCATACATACCCTGTGTATGCCTTTGTTAAGAAAATGAAAATTATATGACACCTGAATGCGTATTAAATGATTCTAAATAGAAGACAACCAAATAGTCCCTTACAGTTGTACAAATAAACAAGCAAATAGTCCCTTACAGTTGTACAAATAAACAAGCAAATAGTCCCTTACAGTTGTACAAATAAACAAGCAAATAGTCCCTTACAGGTGTACAAATAAACAACCAAATAGTCCCTTACAGTTGTACAAATAAACAACCAAATAGTCCCTTACAGGTGTACAAATAAACAAGCAAATAGTCCCTTACAGGTGTACAAATAAACAAGCAAATAGTCCCTTACAGTTGTACAAATAAACAACCAAATAGTCCCTTACAGGTGTACAAATAAACAACCAAATAGTCCCTTACAGTTGTACAAATAAACAAGCAAATAGTCCCTTACAGGTGTACAAATAAACAACCAAATAGTCCCTTACAGGTGTACAAATAAACAACCAAATAGTCCCTTACAGTTGTACAAATAAACAAGCAAATAGTCCCTTACAGATGTACAAATAAACAAGCCATTAGCCCCTTACAGTTGTACAAATAAACAAGCAAAAAGTCCCTTACAGTTGTACAAATAAACAAGCAAATAGTCCCTTACAGTTGTACAAATAAACAAGCGAAGGCCGTACGGTGACCTATAGTTGTTAATTTCTGTGTCATTTGGTCTCTTGTGGAGAGTTGTCTCATTGGCAATCATATCAAATCTTTTTTTTGTGAGCAAATACATTCAATTTGGTAAATACGAACGAATGATCTAACTGGTAATTAATTTTCTTAGCAAGGGCTAAAATAAATCTTTGGAAGCCCGATCAACATGGAAGTATTACAAAATTATAAACTGAACAATTAAACAAGAAAGGGAGAATCATAGTCAAAGTTAGCAGGTCATATCAATTATAAACAATGGTAAATTGAACAATGACAGTATAACATAACTAGTACATGTATGTATGTTTGTAATATTTAAGATATACATGTGTAACAGTATTTATAACTATTAAGTTCTTTGTTTACCTTTCGTTTCTATCAGCCAAGCGAATGGAAAGGTTGTTATTAAATACGCTATTGGTCCCCACGCTGTCAACAACGCTATGTTTGAATCTTTCCAACCAAATGCGTCCTCTGTTGTAGCTGATATCGGACCATAAATACTCCACGATCCGCCCTGAGACATAGCAAATAGACAGAATATTACCATAACATACCAACGACGTTTATAAACTTTTGTTCTCGGCATCGACTCGTTTGCATTATTGATAACATTTTGACTGCATGTCTTATAAATAACTGAACCCGTTTCGCTGTAATTAGTATCCGTATTGTCACTACTATCTTCACACAGAAGCGATTGCTTCTCACATTCCATGATTGATGTAACGGTTTAATCAGTCATACTATATTTGACTTGGCTGGTAATCTTGATCTTTTCGTATTCCATTTTTGCGAAGACTTCATGATGACATTAATTCCGATTAAAAGATTGAAACACAGATTTAAAATATTGACAACGCTTCACTATTATTTACTTGAAAAAGGTGAAAAATCGTTCATTAAAAGATAACACGTATATTATGTATTACACATCTTACACATGTTACATGACACATTTAAATTTATTTGATTATCGTTGATAACATAATTTTGTTTATGGAAAATGACATGCAAAATGGGGCATACTTGAAGTATACAGGTAAATGTTTGAATTTGAAACCCTTTTGATATTTTTTTTACAATTGCTTCTCTTATTTCCATAGCTAGATTTTCGAACTTGTTTTATTAATTTGTTTCCAATCTAATTAAAATATAGAACTCGGATTTCGTTATACTACATACAATCCGAGTTCTATATTTTAATTAGATTAATTTGTTTCCTTATTATCTTCTGCCTTTTTGTTGTTGTCAAGTTGTTGCTTTATTTGAAGTGGTTTTCGGGATTTTCCATTCATCTGGAATGCTCGGGGTCAAAGACTGGTGAAGCCAAACAATTAGAGTTAAAAGTAATTTAACATTGTTCTAAACTAGAATAATAAACTGAGAGAAAAATAGAGAATCGCATGAAATACAAACGGACCGATATCGGATTAAGTTATGCGTCTTCTTCTGTGAGCACATCATCCGCCCTGCGAATTCAGACTATAAACATATTCGGAACTAGCTATCCAATGGTTGCTATTTCTTTTGTTATGCCCCCACAACTGAAAGTTGATATTGTTTTACCCCTGTCAGTCCGTCCGTCCCATTATGGGTATATTGCTATTCCAAATAACTCCTCCTACAGTTTGAATGCTAGGAAGTTTTCACTTTGCTTGCTGTTTGTACATATATTGACGGTGTGCATGTGGTCAGGGTTTTGATTTTTATTAATATTTGCTCTTTTGGGAGATAGTTGAACTTTGTCATTTTTGGAGTATATACTTGCATAAGAGGTGCATAGCTATTCCAGATAACTCCCCCTACAGTTTGAATGCTAGGAAGTTTTCACTTTGCTGGCTGTTTGTACATATATTGAAGGTGTGCATGTGGTCAGGGGTTTGATTTTTATTAGTATTTGCTCTTTTGGGAGATAGTTGAACTTTGTCATTTTTTGGAGTATTTACTTGCATAAGAGGTGCATAGCGTTTACGGATAACTCCTCCCACAGTTTGAATGCTAGGAGGTTTTCACTTTGCTGGCTGTTTGTATGTATACATATATTGAAGGTGTGCATGTGGTCAGGGTTTTGATTTTTATTAATATTTGCTCTTTTGGGAGATAGTTGAACTTTGTTATTTTTGGAGTATATACTTGCATAAGAGGTGCATAGGGTTTCCGGATAACTCCTCCTACTGTGAGCCATAGACCTATATGCTCCCATGCTCAACTTTGTGTATTTCAAACTATATACACTTTGCATCTGTGGGGCATCATTTGTTTCTCCCAGGCACAATAATATCTCAAAGAAAGTCCTACATTGACTTATAATACAGTTATAATACAGTCACTTCAGAGTGGAGTGCGGGGGCATCTTTTTGTCTAGTCTTTTAATAAAAATCCTACCAGATTTATCTTATTTAGAGGTTGGACTCTTTGATAGTACGAGCGTTAATCTTCTCTGTACATACGCAAAATATCTAGAATATTGCAATTTGGAAATGCGTTAAAAGTACGGTCAAAATTTTACAAATTAAAAAACGTGTTAGCTAAATTTCGTATACGTCCTTCCGTTTGTAGGATATATTTAATTTCAACCTCCTCATGAAAAACGAAACATATCTCAAACTTATTACATCTTTTGTATGCATCTCTTCATACACTTCCTATAAGTTTGCAAAAATACAAGGTACCTGATCAATCTACCGGTTCAATCAATCAATCAATCGGTTTTCAATCTACCGGACAGTATCAGTAGGTCAAAATAGCTGTTGCATCATTAAATTAAAAACAAATCATTGAATATAAGAATTAGATAGCAAAATCGATTTACACAATAAAAATGGTCAGTCGTGTTATGGAACACTTTCAACCCACAGGAACAAGTTACTGATCTGAAATGTTGAAGATTTCTTGAATATCAGGTACCTTTATTTACAACGCTAAAGACAAAATAAAATGTTTGGAACGCCAAAATATATCGTTTGAAAGCATAAAATTCAAAAGGGTCAAAACAAAAAACCCTAAGTCTTCCAAGATCTTCTGTCTGAAGAAGTTGTATACATAGTAAACAGTACAATAAATTTCATTAATTTACAGACAAACTATATTAGTTTCAAAACATTGACTAATGTGTGGATTGAACTCAAGATCTGAAACTGATAGTCTACCAGAACCGATCCAGTGCTAGTAACAAGACGCGACACATGTTTCGGAATAATATTCATCAAATTCGCTAGAGATAACAGGTATGAGCGCATATTTCTTTTTACAAAGCACTTTTTGTATCAAATCTTTTCATGGAACTTCGGTTAATTACATGTATAAAAAAGAGAACTAAAGATAGTATAACGTAAAAAGATGCCAATTTGGATGCACCAGATGCGCACTGAGACAAACACAGTATCTTAAAAGGTATTAAAGGATATGACGTAATCCTGAACGCTAAATACTGTGGTCCCCAAATTAAAAATAAACAAAGAAAAGCTTATTATAATCAAACAAAAACGAACTGAAACCTGACTTAGATCCAAAGTTGTGAAAATGGAGAAGTGATATGTCAAAAGTCTTGAATGATATTTATTTCGTTTGCGTTCGATCCCAATACCATTTGTTGGCTCTGAAAAGTCGTTAGGAAAATAGCGAAAAAGTAGAAAAGATCTCTATAAATTGTTGCGTCCATCCAATCAAAAGATATGCCTGAAAGCCTTTATAATTAGAAAGAATAAATGTATTTTATTACTACAATTTATTAGAATAAATATAAATATAACGTTATAATATTTGGTAAGCAATAAACCCGTAAATAATGAGACAGTAAAAGAGAGTACAAGATTCTATATGTCGCACTGTCAACTGTCTATTGTAATTTCGTCGACTTCTAAGCGATTGTATCGTTCTTTTAGAAAAGCTAGTACTGGTATACATGATACTATACAGCCCATCATACACCACGTGGCCCATTTTGTACCTAAAATTATATCAAAACAAAAATGTAATGCTCAATCAAATCTTGCAAGACTATCATTTAAGTGAGATGTTTGGTGAAGTTTTAACATTAAAGAAAGTCAAAAAAGTATTTACAAAAATATCGAACTACATTGTACAAGTTAAATTCAAAAATGGGGAAGTCCATTAGACCTGACAAAATCAAACGTTATAGACTGTATCAACCAACGGAACGAATGGAAAACAACTGTCATATTCCTGACTTTTACAGACAAATGAATTCGTTAGGATGGTTATATGTGGGAAATATCCGTTTGAACTAAAAAATTGATTCTTCTGATGTTTCAGTCTCGTTGAAATCTCGTTCGGGAATTATTTCCAAAACATGTCATACAAGTGGAAAATATTTATGAATTTAAAAAATATTATAATCAAACTAAATTCTGTGAAAAAATTGTGTACTTACAATAATTAGTTGTTGAGTAATAAAATCTTTATTTTTTAACCAATCCGGTCAGTATCATCAGCCAAAATGTTGAGAAAATGGGTGAGGGTACAAAGAAATGATTCATCAAAAATATGTACATCCCATATCAATTTTTTTTTTTAAATTCTTAGATATATATTTTTTCCATCATTTATAACAAAGAACTTGAAATGATATGCTTTTTGTTCTAAAAAAAAAGGAGAAAAATCCAAAATTTACCAAATTGACAACATGGTCAATTTGACACGAAAAAGCAACAAAATTTTATAAAGCTTTCTAGTTTTAATACCAATATATAGTTTTTTTAAGTTAAATTTATTCAGATTAGTCCACTTCATCTTTAATAAAAGTATAAAAAAAAGTTTAATTCTGAAACTGTGATTTTTTTTCATGATAATAGCCCAAAAATGGGTAAAATTTGATGAAAATGGGAAAATCATTAAAAATGGGGTACTTTCAAATGGCCGTAGCAAAATAAATGTGCACCACCATATGATTTTTTCTTCGTCAACCTCTTTCTAACAGTCATATAAACCAAAAAATCAGGTTAAGAAAAAAGGATTAATCCTAGAAATTTTTGGCTCCTCAGAGGTGTACATCCTTTTGTAAAAGTACAATGTACATCAATATGAGCACTCGTGTATGTAAACAGGCAATCTCAAGATTTTTTGGGAAATTTGAAATGCAACTAGAGCTTGAGGAACTACATAATTATGAATATAAAATGATGATGTATATATATTTTCATGTTTTTTTTTAGATATTGATAATTTAATATCTGGATAGCAGAAGTACAAATGTATAGAATACAAATAATATTGCTCAAAGGTTCACCAATTTTGAATTGAAAATATTATTACTTGGACATATGCCTTACGAATTTTTGAAGTTGGTTAAATACTTTTTTTTTTTTAATTATTTCATTAATCTCAAATTTACTTACCAATATTTGGTATCATTTGTATGACTAGGAATATAACTCCACCAACATTGCTACCGAGTGTCATCAGCAGGTTAGTGGTGCCCTCTGGAACCGGATATGCTGCTTCACACGCCATCTCAAAGAACAGTGGCAAGGTTGATGTCAGGAACATTGTTCCCATTATTATTGATGCATATAACATAACTATGGAGAAAAATGGTTATTTGAAAGTCAAAACGTGAAGCATGCATAAAAAAGGTTCCATACTATGTCATCATGGTTCTTAGCGTTAATCAATCAGAAAAATGTGTATGGCAATGTTAAATTCAAAGGTGATTGAAATTTTTGATGAAAATCTAATTGTGTCTTATTTACTTTATTGTTTAAATGGTGTTTTTTTTTTTATATATATTAATAAGATTATTCTCTTGATATAGTCAAATCCTTTACATTCGCTCAATTTAATGGAAGTTAGTCTTACTGGATACAAGAACAAAAGTTTCCGAATTGACTTGCATGTCTGTATATGGACGTTATCTTATCATGTTTGAAAGCACCAGCGCGATAAATATTTAAAAACGATTTATATTGTTAGCAACTGCGGACTCGGTTATCCATTTATTCATAATCCAAACTTACATGTAGAACTGTGAATAACACCTTCAACGAGGAATATAAACCATACAAAACACCCGGATGCACATATGTACAGAAATAACAACAATAATCTCATGTGTCGAGAAAATATATCAGAAAATCTGAAAAACATCAAAGAAAGAATTGTAGAATCATTTTTACGTGTTCAAACTACCTGGCAGCCTATATCAAATACAATAGTTATTCCTTAATATGTCACTAGTAAATGAGGGGCTCTTATCGCAAAAAACAATTACGACAATAATTTCATGATTGGTTGGTAGTTGCTTAACGTCCACTGGTAAATATTTAATGCATTTTCAATACGATCGACATTAATTGATCATAAGTTATATTGAAATGTTCATGACTTAAAAGAGTATTTTTTTCATAATTTCTTTTGTAAAAGTAACTTCCTGAGCACCCGAGTTCATCCACAGTATGTTTCTGTTTCGGTTTCCATTCCTCAACCCTTAAAGTTTTCTGTTTACCGTGTTTAGCCATGATGTTGTCTTCAACTTATAGTTTTTAATTGACTCCTTGGAATCTCCTCCCTCTTTTTTTACAAGAAACGTGACAATGACGCTAATAATAACATCACACAAATGTAAAAACAATAGTAACAATTTAAGAGATTAATGTTAATATTGAATGTTATTTGTTTTGTGTAATATGACTTTTTACTTACTTAGCAAAAACAAGTGATGCAAGACATCCTGCGATTAACGAATAAAATCCAAGCCACCCGGCTTCATCCTACAAAAGTTCAGTGTTTAATATTAGAGTTTTAAAATAATCCCAGCCACCAGGCACTGTTCTACAAAAGTTCAGTGCCATAAGAGTTATATAAATTCCAAGCCGCTCTGCTTTATCTTACAAAAGTCCAGTGCCTTTAAAGTTATATAAAATCAAAGTCACCATGCTCTGTCCTACAAAAGTTTAGTGCCATAAGAGTTATATAAAATCCAAGCCACCCATATCTGTCCTACAAAAGTTCAGTGTCTATGTATGTTGGCGTTTGTTTTTATAGCAGTTCAGTGTTTATGCTGTTCCGTTGTTTTCCTCTAATAGTTGATGTGTTTCCCTCGGTTTTGGTTTGTGACGCGGATTTGTTTCAGTTAAATCGATTTATGACTATTGAACAGCGGTATACTACTGTTGCCTTTATTCATTAGAGTTATATAAAATCCAAGCCATCCTGCTCTGTCCTACAAAAATTCAGTGCCTTTAGAGTTTTATAAAATCCAAGCCACCCTGCTCTGTCCTACAAAAGTTCAGTGCCATTAGAGTTATATAAAATCCAAGCCACTCTGCTCTGTCCTACAAAAGTTCAGTGCCTTTAGAGTTATATAAAATCCCAGCCACCCTGCTCTGTCCAACAAAAGTTCAGTGCCATAAGAGTTATATAAATTCCAAGCCGCTCTGCTTTATCCTACAAACGTTTAGTGCCTATAGAGTTATATAAAATCAAAGTCACTCTGCTCTGTCCTACAAAAGTTCAGTGCCATTCGAGTTTTATAAAATCCAAGCCACTCTGCTCTGTCCTACAAAAGTTCAGTGCCATTCGAGTTTTATAAATTCCAAACCGCCTTGCTCTATCCTACAAAAGTTCAGTGCCATTAGCGTTTTATAAAATCCAAGCCACCCTGCTCTGTTCTACAAAAGTTCAGTGCCATAAGAGTTATATATATTCCAAGCCGCTCTGCTTTATCCTACAAACGTTTAGTGCATATAGAGTTATATAAAATCAAAGTCACTCTGCTCTGTCCTACAAAAGTTCAGTGACATTCGAGTTTTATAAAATCCAAGCCACCCTGCTCTGTCCAACAAAAGTTCAGTGCCATTAGAGTTAAATAAATTCTAAGCCACCCTGCTCTGTCCTACAAAAGTTCAGTGCCTTTAGAGTTATATAAAATCCCAGCCACCCAGCTTGCCTACACAAGTTCAGCGTCATTAGAGTTATATAAATTCCAAGCCGCCTGCTCTTTCCTACAAAAGTTAAGTGCCATAAGAGTTTTATAAAAAACAAGCCACCCTGTTCTGTCCTACAAAAGTTCAGTGTCATTAGAGTTATGTAAAATCCAAGACACCTGCTCTGTCCTACAAAAGTTAAGTGCCATTAGAGTTACATAAAATCCAAGCCACCTGCTCTTTCTTACAAAAGTTCAGTGCCATTAGAGTTATATAAAATCCAAGCCGTCTGCTCTGTCCTACAAAAGTTCAGTGCCATTAGAGTTATATAAAATCCAAGCCACCTGCCCTGTCCTACAAAAGTTCAGTGCCATTAGCGTTTTATAAATTCCAAGCCACCCTGCTCTCCCCTTTACAAAAATTCAGTGTCATTAGAGTTATATTCAATCCAAGCCACTCTGCTCTGTCCTACAAAAGTTCAGTGCCATTAGCGTTTTATAAATTCCAAGCCACCCTGCTCTCCCCTTTACAAAAGTTCAGTGTCATTAGAGTTATATAAAATCCAAGCCGCCTGCTCTGTCCTACAAAAGTTCAGTGTTATTTGAGTTATATCAAACCCAAGCCACTCTGCTCTTGCCTATAGAAGTTAGTGTTATTTGAGTTATATGAAATCCAACCCACCCTGCACTGTCCTACAAAATTTCAGTATCGTCAGAGTTATATAAAATCTTATATAAAATCTTATTCACCCTGCTCTAGATCTGTCCTATACAAATTAAAGTTCAATGTCATTAAAGTTGTGTACCGACGTACATACTCGATTTTTTTTATTTAAGGAATGACTGTAATGTTTTTTCTGTCTATGAAGAATTAAAATCAAAAATGTGATGCACACTGAATATTACAGTTTTCGTTACTTTAACAAAGAATGGAAAAAAATATATAAAACGATAAAATTTACGTGAGTTGATTCTTTTATCATAGAAAAAGGTTGACAATGTTTTCAGATCAAATGGCCGTTGTATGAAATTCTAAATTTTTTATTTTTTTTAAAATGTGTGTTCAATGCATTGCGCCAAAAATACCATGTTGTACGAGTTAATAGATGTTCAAACTGAGCTTTTTACTCGAATACATAGCATAAAGTCTTTGGACTTTTTCGAGTTTGTGGTTCATCGATAAACATCTTTAACACCTTATTTAATGCTACTGATATATAATACTGTGTAGATACCTCTGAAATATTGTGTGGCTTTAAAATAACATCTAACACTCCTTGCCAACAACCAAATACACCTTGTGAAACTCCAAACGTCAGAAAAATCAACCAGAATTTTACATTTCTGGAAAATAAATGTCATAAATACATACTAGTATAAAACTGAGTACGGCCTCCTCTGAACGTGTGAAGGTCCTTGCAATGTACTAGTATTGGCTAAACTACACACATACAACATGCGTTATAGAAAGATTGACAAAGATCAAAGAATTTGTAAATTTTGTTCTTATAATTCAATTGAAGAATGTAATAATTTCAAAAAGCTAAATACAGAAACCAGATTTATTTTTGCTACATTCTTGTGAAAATGGAGAAATATACAACACTGTGGCTTTAATTTGTCATAAATGTTTTACAATAAGAAAACAACTACTATAGCTCCATATAATCATAAGCATTATCGTTATTGTTTTTTGTTTCTTGATTTTTGTTTGTATTTGTTTTTTACTTATGTCTATTTGTAATCATTATATGTAACTTGCCCTTTATGGGCTAATAATTGGTTTAATAAAATATTTGTTTTCGTATTCGTATTTGCACAACCCGTCAAATATCGTTTCTTTACCAGTAAAAACCATTTTCCAATCGGGATATCACATCTTCACGGTGATGCTGTTTTTAGAGTTCAAAAATTTAGATACGATCCATGTGATCATTTGAATACACTTTTTCTTAAAGATTATCAAATTTACACTATAGTAAGATCTTTGAATATTGTCTTTATTAGGACTGACACTGTTTTTGTTTTTAATAGCTTAAAACATAACTAAATATGTAAATATGGCACTCTTATGGTCCAACATCCTATCGATACTGTTTATAACGCCTACATGTTACTTGTTTTGAATTATCCCTGAAGTAAATGCGTGTACATTTACTCTTAGATTGGTATTGTGTTTCTTTTTGTTAGTTGATGTTGGCTTCATGTCGATCTGATGCGCTATTTTATGATAAACGGATTTCAGAACATATTGTGTCAAGCTCTATAAGTCGTTCAAAGTTTTAAAAAGTTGTGAAAAAAATCATACTGACAATCAAAAATCTGCCATGTTTCCATATTGGACATGCGCATGAACATGATTGTGAAGGTGTTAAACTTATGTTTAAGATCGTCAACCTCCCTTTTTAATCTGAAGCAGATACATTAAAAAACAAGAAAGCACTAAACTCGACAATAACGGAATAATAGACAAACTAGCAAGACTATTATTAACAAAATATGCAATATGTTTTGTTTACTACTTCAATACACTATCTAGATCACATGTTTGATCGATTGATTTGCCCAGTCGCAAATATTTCTTGCATATTCAGGACGATCAGATAACTTATTTTCTAGAATTTAAAGTAATTACGAGACTATGAAATTAATTATATCATTCATATATATTAAAGTAGGCAAAAGACTTATTATACCAATTTTGTTCGCACGAAACATGAATTTTTAATACCCTTCATCTGGTACACATGGGGCAAAAGGTTTGGTAAGCCAAATAGAAAATATTTTAAGAATTGCATAATCTGTAAAGTGGATTATAATCTAGAAATTGAAACAATTGACCATTTCTGACAACCTACCTTATAAGAACTTTAATACCAGAACTAAAATCTAAACGTCCCACTGACGCTGATAGTGTGGGTGGTAGTTTCGGCTTTGCCGGGTAGTATACTAACATCAAGAAAAAAGCAGCACCGACAAAGCAAAGATCTGTAAAAAAAAACACGAAAACAAGATAATAAGGCAAAACTCTGCAAAACTCTTTAATCGACTGTTATGAAATTTGTATACAAAGTTATATTCGAATGAAATAAAAGGTAATATAATTTATTTTTTCAATCTAATTTTATTTTCATTGTTTTGTTTAGAATTAAGTTTCTTATACTTACAGTAAATCATGTAACTATGGATATCTTTACGTTCAGCTGTTATCACTGTTTCTATAATGATAAGTATATTGTAAAAAGAATAGAAAGTTTTTTTAAACAAAACTTTCAGAACTTAGCAGATATTTGACAACCTAAATGTAGAACGTTTCTTAAAATTTTCACTACTAAAGTTATTGAATCATAAAAAGTGATGGAATTTTCTAAAGTGTTAATTGTATACAAAATATACTACACGATAGCAAAGTATGTTTAAAGGTTGGGATAATTATTTGATCATGACTATGAGATTGAATAATGTTGATTCTTCAATTTTAGCTCGTTGTTCAAAATACTCTCACCAATAGATTATATTTCCGATGGGAATCTAAAAACAGTGAAAATTTCGTGATTCACTTTATAAAAGAGGAACTCATTTGAAACCATATCGACCGAAACAATTATTTTTTAATTCCCAGGTTATTTTACGAATAAAATGTATAAAAACGCGACGAAGTTCGACTAAAGGTACGGTAAAACATTTTCACAAATTTTCAGAAAAAGAATAACTTATTGTAATTAGAAGGCAAAAAGGTAAGTAACAAAACTTACGATTGGTGCAGTTGTGTATGATGTTTCCAATGAAAATACTGCAAACATAATTAAAGCAAATATTTTTTATTTATTTGACTTAAATATATGAGATATTATCTTACCTCCTATAGATTTCTGGGGATATGATTGGTTAAAGGACTACACGTGGTGACTACATATATTTGATATAGGGTGTCCTAAAAAATATGGGGTTAGTTACCATATTAGGTTAGTTACCATATGGGGTTAGTAAGGAGTCACTTCCATTTCAAAACAAAAAAGAAATCTGAAAGGTTTCAACAGACGAAGAAATTGAAAATGAACGATTGAAATAAATTCATAAAACAAATTTAAAGCTAACAAGTTGTTATTGTTTGCATTTGTTTTTGTATAGACCAATTGAAGTATGTTCTTAATACTAAGTATTGAAGACTTAATCACTTTGATAGGACGCTAGTCTAAATACCACATGTGAAAGATAGTCGGTAAGATAAATTCGTTACACGGTGTGCTAGTGACCTAATACTATGGGGTCAGTAAATTCCATATGTGGATTCGAGCTTCGCTCTCACCCCATATGGAATTTACTGACCCCATATATATCGTATTAAGTCACTAACACACCATGTAACTAATAAGATAAGATAATGATTATTTTGTTAAAGTGTCACACATATATATATATATATATGTGAAAAAACAACCCATATATATATATATATATGAAACAACAACCCAAAAGGAACAAAAGGAACACTTTATCTTAATAAATGATAACTTTTCTTACAGTCAAAGTTGGATCTTTTTGGATATACCGATGCTTAATCATAAATCATAAATCCGATATCAAATGAGAATAAAGCTGGACGGAAATAAGAAGTTGCAATGTGTAAAGCTTTGCTATTATGTGAATATAATATGACACTACATCAGTATAATATAAATGTATTAACGTTCCCTGAATCTACAGCTTTTCATCCTGCATTATTTAGCAATGAACACATCATACAGTTGTTGTCGTTGGTCGTTGTCTGTTTAATTTTTGTTCATTCATTGTTGCAAGGAATTGTATATTTAAATATACAATTCCTTGATTGTTGTAAAATTAATCATGCCGTTTTATCTGATCGATTTCAAATGTTGTCATACAGCTGTCTTCTATAGCCTACTATTATACATTAAGGGTTTTGTTTATTGTTGAAGGCCGAATGCTGAAGCGTTTTTTGTTCACATCCGTATCTGTAGGACTTAATGGACCATAGTTGTCTCTTTGACTCATACCACACATTCTCGTGTTAAAAAAAAATCTGATAAAATTGTTGAAATATATAAACTCTTTATTGACGTCTACTGAATATAAGTTAAAAAATTTCGGTTTCATATTTTAAGATTAAAAATGATAATAATCATAGTGACCAGAGGGAAATATATAGAAGAAACAGAAATATAATAGACACACGCACCTGCTTCTCTTATGTACTGTCTTGTTGTCATGACAATTACCTCTAAATGGAACGAAATAAGGCCCTACAATAGTATTTAAGCTTTTATATTATAGATATTATTTGGACATGAACATATTTGGATAAAATCATTTAACATGTAGACCTTTTCAGTCCTTTGACAGTTTATAGTATTTTATAGTATATATTATTCGACGTTCATTATCATACGTGACTGTTCCCACAAACTGAGTATAGTATACAAATCATATATTTTATCAAATATACACAAGACAAGGAAATGAAAGTGTTTCGTGATTCAATTAACACAACGCGTACTGTAAAACAGTTTCCATAAAACTGTAAGGACATAGATAATTCATAAATGACTTTCCTATTGCTATTGCACTTTTAAATATCCAAGCTGTTATTAATTTCAACCTATCTATATCATCTACAGGCAACATAACGTTGCAACACAATAAATAAATCAATATATAAAGATATAGATCCATTTACCCAGTATGAATGCTAGACCAGGTCCTAAACTACTTAATACTGAATTAAGTGCTGTGGCAGTAGTTCTTTCGTCAGCAGGAAACCATAAGGCTGACAGAACAGGTGGAGCACCAAAGGCTACTGGTCCACCTAAACCATTCAGTAACTGACCAATGTTACTTGTCCTGAAAAATGACAATAAGCTCTAAATTAATTTGATTCATTTGAAATGCTTTTGCATTATAAGCATAATAATGCTACACTTGTAATGATTAATGGGCGTATAAGGTCAGCAACCCTATCAACAAAATGAAGCCAACCGAAATGTCAAAATGTCAATAAAGATTGGAAAATGTATGTATCATATACAATTTCTATAGATTTACAATGCTTTTATGGAAAGATGTATATTTCATGATTAATTGACTATTGCTTGTTTCCTTTGACGCAAGTATTTTGTTCGTATTCAGGAGAATATTCTATGTATCTGCATAGTAAAATATTTTAAATGAGGTGGATTTTGATTTTTCCCACATGTCCACTGTGGCATGGGCACAGAGGTGGCAAAACTTCTACATTATGAAAATAAGGAGATGTGGTATGACTGCCAATGAGACAACTATCCACCAAAGTTCAAATGAAGTGGATGTAAGCAATTATAGGCAACCGTACGGTCTTCAACAATGAGAAAAACCCATACCGTATAGTCGGCTATAAAAGTCCCCAACATGAAAAAATATGAAACTATTTAATTGAAAAAACTAACGACATAATTTATTACAAAACAATTAACGAAAAACAAATATGACAGACATGAACCAACGACAACCACTGAACTACAGGCTCCTGTCCACTATATCAAATTTATGAAGATTATATACCGTTTCTTTTTTATCAAGTGACCTATAATTACCATCCATTTGAAGATATCAAAATATGTACTCAACATTTCTATGCGAAAAAAGTTAAAAAAAAAAGTTTATTGTATATTGGTTTGCTGCCAACCATTGCAAACAAATCAAAGACATAAGTATCTTTCCTTATCATCCACGCCGTTGTATAAAAGTACTATAAACTATTATGTATAATTACCACGTGACGTATGATGGATCTGTTGTAAGACATCGTACAACAGCACCTAAAAGTACCAGGAATGTAGCTACTAAAGATGCAACTCGGATACCTGAAAAAGAGTCAAATATAATATATTCATCTCCACTTGTTAAATGTTTTATGTGTTGTTTGTGACAGGACAGCAATTACAAATAAATCCACCACACCTACGGTACTGGAACCATCATTTAGCTAAATAAAATTACTGAAGTAAAACCTGCATATACTGTTATTCCTATCAATAACTTGAGAATGACCAAATTACATAGGACACAAATAATATGTTACAATTGTATATAGTTTATATATGCAGTAATCATTTGAAATAACACCAGTATATATCATATCAATATTTACCTTTCTTTTCTATCAGCCAAATAAATGGGAGGGTTGACAGAATCGATGAAATAGGTCCCCATGCCGTAAGCAATGCTATATCTGAATCTTTCCAACCGAATGCGTCCTCAGTTGTAGCTGAAATGGGTCCATAAATGTTCCATGATCCACCTTGAGACATAGCACATAGAGAGAATACGACAAGAACATACCAACGACGTTTGTAAACTTTGGTTCTCGGTAGCGCCTCGTCTGTGTTTATTACAACATTCTGATTGCATTTGTCGTCAATAACAGAAACTGTTTCTGTGTAAACAGCACCTGTATTATCACTATCACATAGGAGAGGCTTACTTTCATGTTCCATGGTGGCTTACGCTTATTTTGTCATACCATCATATGATCCTGACGAATGAACATATTGATATTGTTTGTAATGTTCTCCATTTATAGTATATTTGTGTATTATATCGATTCGAAAATATTCATACATAAACGTAAAGTGTTTAACTGCATATATTTATTATACACAAATGTAAAGTGGAACTGCTTAAAGGCAATAAAGTTTGCATTTCCATATTACACCTGCAGTATGTGTGTAAATGTGTACAGTTTAAATAAATCCTAGGTTTAAATTCATTCAAGCTTGTCATTTTTTCGCTATATTTAAATATATATAACCATTTGACAGTCTGTCGAAGTCTATAAATATTTTTTGACGTCGTATATGTGTCTTCAAACATCTATTTTCTTCCTGTCAAATGTTTTTATTCTTATTTTTAATTTCGTACCACTATACTAGAAATAGTATACATGCAGAATGTCTTTATATATATATATATATGAAAAGTAGACAGCAGATAAATAGTCAATGTTATTTGGGTTTAAACATGTTAAAAGCTATAACAAGGCTAAAATTTCTCGACAGGGTATTTATCATAAGAGTCTTAGAGATTTAAAAGCGTTAACATAATTTCTTATCTATATAAATAAGAAGATGTGGTATGAGTGCCAATGAGACAACTCTCCATCCAAGTCACAATGTATAAAAAGTTAACAATTATGGGTCAAAGTACGGTAGTATATTTTCAAAATTACCGATTTAAAATAAATTAATGAATATTGTTCTGTGTGTTTTTAATGAGAGCTCATGTGAATGGTGGTGACAGAGTATCTCTATTCAAACGTGCTTTTGATGAGCGCTGGAAAATGTCAAGTTTTCATACTTCAATAATTATTTAAGGGTATAATATTAAAATGAAATATATGAAAATATATAAAATAAGGTTCTCTTATCTACATCAGTACTATAATATGAACAACATATCAACAATTTTTTTTATAGTTGTTGATGTATGTATTGAGTAGCATTTATTTAATTACTATTCTTGATTTATTGTATTGTATTATTTTATTTAGTTCTCCTAATTGATATGTCATTGCATGTACATATAAAAAGAGATGTGAGCTTTACGTCAATAACAAAACCAAGCCAAAACACAAATTAACCAAAAGACATCTAGAAATCATAGTCTTCAAGAATAGACAAATATTGTCTACAGAGACAACATACTCAGTTTTTGTCCAAAAATATGTATCAAGCCGTCATATATACATCTAGATAAAAAAACATATGATAATTGCTGGTACGTTTTCAGTTATCCTACAAGTGCAACTTATCCAATTGGTGTCTCTATATTACCATCATTTATATTCTATTTAAATATCTCCTTAATATAAGATCGTCAAATCGTTTAAAACTGCTTCACTAATTTAATTCCATATCATGTTTTCTATTGTTTTATTTTGTTTTATTCACTTTTGATTTTTATGCATTTCCATCGGAGAGTTTTGTTTTTGTGGGTTATTTAAAAAAACAACACTTTATAAATTTCATGCATCCGAAGTTCAAATGGAATTACAAGTTAAAAACATTGCCTCGTATAAAGACTAAAAAAACTTTGACCTATAATGGTTTACTTTTATAAATTGTGACTTGGATGGAGAGTTGTCTCATTGGCACTCATACCACATCTTCTTATATGTAAATAAAACGGAGATATAGCATAATCATAAATATGTCATACAAGTTTGCCTCGCTTAAAGATACGTAATCGTCCTCTTCTTGCCAGAAATTTTCGATGTCTCAGCGTTTGAGTGGCAAATTGTGCAAGAGACATTTTCAGTAAATTTAAATTTCTATATACGACAGCAGGAATATAGATAAGTTGCTAATTTTGTTATCAATTGTTATCAATTTTATAATAAAAAGACGTTAAGGTGTAATCATACGGTGTTCATTAATAGACAAGTGACAATATGTCAAGCTCTAAATAGTCTAGATTATAACTCAAACTTGTGACTATTTTTATCAGAGACTATTAATGATATGACATACTTAACGACGTTCCTTTCAATCTTTACGTCCTGCATGATTGCTTACATGTAGCACGTCTACTGTTCATAGTCAGCGACGAGACCAAGAGATAAGTTAGAACTTTTAAAAGAGATAACAAATATTTTTTTGATATTTGATGTTTCATTTATATTACGTTTGTAAAGCTACAAATGTTGATGAAAAATACAAAAGTAATCTTGACCTTACGTACACACATGTGATACTACTTAATATGTTATTCGTTTGATATATATTTGAAATACTCTAATTGTTGACCTCCTGACTGGTAAATAACCTCTCAAAAATTAATAACAAATATAAAATTGACATCAAAATAATGCAATATAACGACATTTTTGAATACTAGATACACTCTCACTGTGTATTTTTTCTAGAATTAAGTTAGCACATATATACCAGAAAGTAGAACGCGAAGTGAGTGTTGTGTTATTATCAAACTATTGGTTTCAAAGACTTTTGACGGATTATTTTGTTATTGTCGTGTGTATACATGTATATGTGTCCCTTTTTAGTAGTCAAGCATGAAATGGTTTAATGATTAACACAAAAGATTCGTCCAACAAACAATACACATCACACAGACCTTTAAGAGATCCCTTTGTGTGACAGGTGCCTAAACAATATATCAAGCTCTAAATCGTTTAGAGTCTTTAAAAAACGGGGCATGCTAATACAAAATTTAAAGTAACTGAGAGAATTTTCAATCTAACTTATTATTTCATTGTTCCGTAAAAAGCAGAAAATGCAGTATGAATTTCTAACTAGGAGGAGGATAAAATCCACCTTCATTGTGATTGATTGATTGTTGGTTGCTTAACGTCCAGTGACAAATATTTCATGCATGTCCAGGACTGTAACAAATTACTGATAAAACAAAAGGTAGGTCCTGTAATAGAAGCAGTCATCACGAAGGTCGGGAACTTTTGGACTGCTACTGGTAAATGGGGATATATTGGATACACAGCAATTTTGCCTTGCAACAGGCCATATACGGACCCATCAAAGATTTATTGCAAGGTTATTTACGTGAGAGGGCGTGACACTCTCTTCACACGAGGCATCGGATTTAACGTCCCCATTCTGACCGAATGTGGCTGGAACTTGTACATCCCGCACTGCCGAACGGAGGCCTCACTTTTGCAAGGGTTTCACTGCCGGTCGGAAGAAGACATAAGTTACCATATTTCTTTTCCCCAGCCAACCTTAGGGGTCCTTTGTTAAGAATAAAACAACAAGAGAAGCAATTCAAAGAACCTCTTTATATGATAATGAAATCATGTTTTTCATGTTTATATATTAGTTGATATCTAGACATTTACATTTGCATGTACATGTAGTTTCATGTTCCCAAATTTGACCAATGCCTTTACGAAATATTTTGAGGGTCTGGATGGGGGTCTTTCATTTCTGTATTCTTAAATTTTTTTAGGACATTTTCTCTATTCATTATATTTTTTGGCCTTTTTTCTCTATTCTTTATATTTTAGCACCTCATTATTATCTATTCTTCATTGTTTTGGCCTATTTTTCTCTATTCTTTTTTTTTCCATCTTATTGTAGATTTGACCCATTATTCTATATTCTGTAAACCCCATCCAGACCCTATATTATCTTATCTCATCGACATTTCGATCAATAAGTTACAGATATGACACCAAAAGTTAAGAACACTCATTTCCTATTATTGCTTCTTGTCAACTTTGTCTTTGGCGAAAATAGCTCTGATGGAATTTGGACAAAGGAACAACTCCATTATCTAGAGAATCTCAAAAGAGAAATAGGTGAGTATACCAACTACATCACGTGACATTTCATTTATATATGAAAGAGTGAGATAAAGTGTACGACAAAAAAGATGAATTATTCTGTCTACTCTTATTTTTATCAAGCAGCTCTTTTATTTGAAGAATATATATTTCAACGGATTCGATTTTCCAGAACTTTGTGTTAAATCTGCTGACAGTCGCCTCTCTTAAAGGAATTTCAGATCCTCATCCCGGTCCTATCTGAAAATTTTATTGAAACCAATAGATATACCTGCTTTGAACTAGACCTGCACGCTCAGTCGGAGTTTTAACGTGCTAGTTCACCAGGTGACAGTCCACAGGAAGTCATGTCACCCTACTCGGACACACTATGCTGACTCCGAGCCGACCAGCTTCCATACTCCTCAATGCCGCGTGCTTAGCAGAGAAGCAGCAGTTACAAATTTTAAAGTCTTTTGTTTGACCCGGTTTCCCGCACTCGAGGCGATCAAGAAGATAAAATGTTATCGTTTAACTAATTTAAGAAAGTCAGCAAACCACTTGCACAGTAAGAATTGAAATATCATCGTATGTTTTTAACCCTGTTGATCGTTAGGAAAAGGAAAACAAATGACTTAGATTTTGATTTAAATGAATGCTCCTCAATAAATGAATTTTAAAAGAACTTTGTGTATTTTATGTTAACGCACAGAAAAAAGATTTAAATTGTTATGTTTACATTTAAAATATACCCAAAATACTACATGTTGTGCATCTTTTGTAGAATATCTGAAAGAGACATGTAAACAGCCACAAATTTTAACTAATGGTAAGTTGATATTTTATTCTTGGTTATAAACCCTGTGTATGTAAAACAATTTGTTCAAAGAAACAAGAAACATTCTTCAGCACAGGAGACATCGATTTATTGGAATAAACCAAAGAAAATCCAAAGCATTAACCTTAATGTTAGTATTATTTTGCAGTTTCCACATGCAAGTTATGTGAGCCGTCCTCGCATGCAAAATATTCTGTTAAATGTCTTACTTATGAAAACCTGATTTTCGTGTATGAAAAAACTCTGAAGTGTCAGCATACTAGTTGCAGTAGACCTTGTCGTTACTTATAAGTTGAATTCAAAATATGGTGAATTTATCAATAATTCTTCAATAGTATCAGATTAAGACTTGAAGCACGCAATGACCACTGGTAACGGTCCAGATATTTCTATATAAATACCTATGTACACATAGTCATAGATTTAGATGAAATTATTTTACACGATAGGAAACTCGTGTTCCTTTTAAATTATATATTTTACCAAACATAGAAATATCTGAAATGAAATATCCCAAGGAAGCTATTTAAACATATGCAGTGCACAGATTCGATGTTTATGCAAACATTCATTGGGAAACATGGGAAACATGGGAAACGTAGAGGTTTGTAACGTGAAGTATGTAACCTCTGTCAAACGTGTTAATGAAATGCACATGTGCTTTAATCTCCTCAAATTAAATACAGCGGTAATACTTTTGACAGTTAAAAGATATGGTTTCCCAATTTCCATTCTCAATTTTGTTAAAATACGAGTAGCTTTAATTACAGGTGATTAAAATCGAACAATTATTATGTTATAAAATATCTCTGAATTATTCTGACCGAGAAATTAAGGGGCGGAATCCGTTATTCATATACGATAATCAACAAATTTCCTATGATCTGGGTACAAAACTAAGTATTATGAAGATTAAACGAAATTACCATTACCTTTTCGTAACATGAGGTGACCTTCTATCAGTCCGATTCAAAAAATATTCATGGTCCATATTGAAATCAATATGCAACAGAGCTCAAACTGTAAAGTACGTGTGTTGAAAATGGATATGTTTAAGATGCAGTCTTTAATTACAATACAGAGATATTATATCAGAGTTGATAGAATTTAAAACACAATATCATACTAGTATTTAATTTGACAGGTCAGAAAAGTGAGGAAGTACCTCTACCGATAGATGTTCCGACCATAAATGAAATACAGCCTATAGCGTTCTATGCTCAACTCTCACAGACGTTGACTATCGGAGACTTACAATCAGTTGAGTACGATGTCGTAAGGGTAAACGTTGGCAACGGCTATGATAAAAGACATGGTCATTTCACAGCTCCCGTCACAGGACTCTTCTATTTCTCGTTTACTGTCATGTCGTTTCCTGATCATAGCGTCCACATGGAAATTGTAAAAAATGGAGCGGTCATCGGAAATTGCTTTGCTGACAGTCATGGGTATGAAAGTGGTACCTCAACAGTGATCACCCAATTAGACAAGGGTGATATGGTGTGGATACGACACATCAAAGCAGAAGGTTCACAACCATTGCATCCTATGTACAACGCATTTACTGGTTTTCTCATTGCCAGGACATAATGAAATTTTATTAAATCATTTTGAAACAAATAAACCATATTCAATTTCAATTTCTTTCGAATTAACTTCGAAAAAGTAAAGCAGATAACTATAATATGTGAAAAATTTGGAAAATATCCGAAGTGACAGGAAATAGGTTGTACACGATAAATGCAATAAAGGAAGTCGTTTGTCAATGTCATAGATATATACAGACAAGTCACTCATTATCAATTCAGAACTGTAATCTACCTTTAGAAATTGAATCAAAAAGAGAGGCGAAAGATACCAAAGGGACATTTAAACTCATAAGACGAAAATAAACTGACAACTCCAGGGCAAAAAAAGAAAAGGATTAAAAGACAAACAACTGCTTAAAAACATAGAAAACTGAAGACTGATCAACACGAACACTTATAAATTTATCAATTCTCTTTTATATTTTACTGGATATTAATCATTACATTCAATCCTTGGTACTATCAAGACTGATACTCCAGGCTTCTCTGATAAGAAGAGCATTGAGGGGTAAAAATAACTTATTCTAGACTGGTCTCAAGTCAAAATACCGCTTACGAGTACCGAAAGGAATATTTCTTTTTATTTTAACCTTACGAGTTAGATATCAAATTTTGACTAAGCGTATCGCAAAACAGAGTGTTTTGTCAAAAAAAAAAGACCGAAAATCATCAAAATAACAAATTTGCAACCTTATCATTTATTCTACATATTTTAATTAATAATAAAACAATAAATATATTACATGATAAACCATTCAAAAATCGAAATAAAAATAAACAGCATTAAGTTTGAAATAAAATCACAACTTTAGGAATTGAGACAAATTAATAAAATAAATATCCTAATCCACTTTAATCTCAGTTTCATCGATTTCAAGTCTATTATAACGTTCCTTAAGGAACGCAAGGACTGGTATACAAGATGCAATAGCTCCTATCAGACACCAATTTTCCCATGATGAACCTAAAGTTAAAAAGAAGTTTCATTGTAAATATAATACTCATATTTGCAAAACACAAATACGTAAATTGATTTAAAGGAACTAAATGTGATGTAAGCCATCGCTGAAAACGTCAAGTCATGTGACGAAATTAACCAGGATTATTTTAAGTCTGATTTGAGACATTTGTGACCTTTAACAAAAACAATATTATCAATATGATTGTAATTACTGATTAACAAACTGCTTTCATGTATATTAAATCTACTGGGTTTCCTCTAGTCTTCACAAATTTATTCTTAGTGATGGTTTTAATGGTTGTCCTGGAATGTTTTATACTTCTATTTGTCTATTTAAGAAGTTAACATTGAAATTCAATGAGTCATACTTTTCCTTGATCAATATATAAATGGCTTACCAATATTAGGAACCATAAGTACTATAAGGAACACTAGACCACCAATGTTGTTAAGTAACGTTAGTACTAAGTTTGTGACTCCTTCTGCCACAGGGTAACTCGCTTCACAAGCCATCTCAAAGTATAATGGAGAGGTGGAACCAAGCATCATACAGAATATTATTATGGAGGCATAAAGTTGAACTGAAATTGGAAATTGAATATTTTAAAAAATTAAGAATAATTTTAATAAAACGTTGTTTTTTTTAGATTTTAAGTTTCACGCTTCACTGACCTCCTGACATATAGTTGTATTCATGGCGTAGATACTACAAACGGTTCTGGCGACTGTGCAATCCTAAACTGATAGAACCTCTTAACATTCCATATTGTTACAATATTATTTTTTTTCATTTCATCACCACGTCACTAGTGTCAATTCAACTTTTGGACTTCCAAATTTTTTTATTCGAGCGTCACCGATAAGTCTTGAGCAGACATGCTGAATGAATGTCAATCAAACTGCCACCAACAAAAACAGATATTTCACGCAGTCGTCTATATATGGTTTTCAACAACATTATGTGTATAAATAATATTAATTATTTCAGTGAATTTATAAAATCTCTAATCAGTTCAGTGATTATAAAAAAACCCTGAAATTTCAAGGATTTCACAAAATCCCTGATTTTACAAATTCACTGTAACATATTTACCACATGTCCAGATCTATATCACCCTTAATCAATGTTGACTCTACATCAGATTTTGCATAAGAATTCCGGATAAATACAACAAGTTAATTTTCTGTATCTTAATATTGTTTTAATGTACTCTCACTTTAGTTATCTTTTGCCATTGCTAAAAAGCAGTGATTCCATCGCAGACAAATGAGTAAGTATGTTAAAGGCCTTCGTATTATTTCTTACTGAATTAAACAGTTTGTAATCATGGTGAATTTTAGTATTCATTGTTTGACATACAATAATTTTTGAAACTGGTTACTTATTATACTTGTTACAGGTATTGTAAGCTATTAAAAAACAAATTTTTATGGTTTTTTTTGAAATTTTAGTTTATAAACATTTTTGCAAAAATATGCAAATCAGCTGATTACTTTAAGTAAAATAAATACCACAAACTCTCTCGACTTCTTACAACAAAGATTATTAAAATGTATTGTTAACTAAGAACGTATAATTTGCAATTTTCTTATTTAAATAAACGTTTAAGGTTTCTTTAAAAAAGTACTTACTTTGAGAATTAGGAATGGTTCCCTGTATAAGAAATGTAAACCATACTAAAGACCCAGCAGCACCAACATATAGAAACAGTAAAAACAATCTCATGTGTTTTGAAAATACATCAGCAAATCTGTTCAAAGATGAAACACGAATATAGAAAAAACAGTCGTTCTGTTACTAGACAAATTAAGTAATATCTTGTCAAATATAAAGTGAACAAAACAAATGTGTTGACACCCTGTCTGATTCGATCAAATCGCCTTTCACAACAAAATGGCTAATGATTGATGCTTGATAATCGTTGAAAATCACGTGTATTCTATTTGAAATACGCAAATTTTCATGAAACTTTCTTTTTTTCAATTTCCTATAGACATCACGTGGGACAAGTGTTTCTTTGAATAGTTGGAATTTTATTGGAAGCCAATCATTCCTTGTTTATTTGTATTAATATGAGTTTCGATTTTGCATAGTAACTAGTAAAAGAATGAATTTATAACTAATTACTGTGATCTTATCTATAACTAAAATTTACATCCCACATTTTCCGTTTGAATTCAATTGATATATTCTTCCAAGTATACAAAAGGAACCAATAAACTGTTCCTTCATACATGATACTGAAATAATAGAATCTGACGACATATTTGTATGCATATCAAAGTTCAATTACTAATAAGTAATGAATTTACCAACTGTATTATTGTATTTGACATGCATTTCTAAACTCATGTAACATGCAAAGCATACAGCTCATTCTGAGATCAATCAACACGTTTTCTGAATAATATAATGTAAACTATCAGTCGTCGGTTACAGTATGAACCTTTTTGCCGAATGAGCACTCGAATTAATGACTTATAGTATTATTATAAACCTCACAATACAGTATGCAGAGGAGCTGATATTTTGGAACATTTTCGTACAAACACAAGCGATTGAACAATTATATTTTTTCTATTTACAATTATCTATTTTTGAATAAGGAATTCAGTAATTGATCCAGGAAATCAGTATTGAACCTACCTTGCGATAGCTAACGTTACAATGCATCCTGCTAATAAAGAATAAAATCCTAACCAACCAGCTTGTTCCTGCAACAAAATAAGTTTGATTTCGCTTTCCAGTGAATAAAAAGCACTTGGAGTGTCCAACTAATTAAATTAATTCTTTAAGTCTCAACAGTGCCTAACTCCACCATCTATTATATGATGATTTATTTAAATAATGAGTAAATGCCACCTTTAACGTTAGAAGGCTTTAAAGTTACTTGTATTTGTATGAATTTGTTATACATTTGTAGTTGATTGCATATTATTCATTTCTATTTCTTTTTATTGTTTTTACTCATCCATTTGATTATGAATACTACTATTGATATAATGATTTGTAATGTGTAAACCAATAATTATTATGAGATACCTAAACATTAAAATTTATCATTTAATTAGTTTTATTAGTCTGAGAACAACTTACCTCTGATATATTATGAGGTTTGAGGATTACATCTAGAACACTTTGCCAACAACCATAGACACCTAACGACACTCCGTATGTCAGTCCTATCAACCAAAACTTGCCATTTCTACACAGTGAAATAGTTAGGTTTGTACATGAGTGCATGTTTACTGTGACAATCAATACACAAATAAAATATTTATTTATAAAGTTGTTGAGAACAAAAATCGGAAACTTTTTGAATTAATTAATAGATTCTACATTTCACCTTATTGGATTGGATGAAAATTTTATACGTAAATTCACTGAAATCTTTGAGAAAAAATTAACCATTTCTTTAAGTTTGCAAACCATAAATTAATTCCCGATGCGTTTTCCATCTTACCTGAATAATTGTTTGATTCCACTTTTAAAGTCTACTCTTTCAGCTGAAGCTGATAAAGAGGGCGGAAGTTTTGGTTTGTTGGGAAAGTATACCAACACTAACAGAAAGACTAATACTGCTAAACCACATTCTGTGAAAAAATATATAAAGTAAATTAGAGGCAACAGTATTGTACCGTTAGTAACATCTAATATATCCATTTAGAAGATATAAATCAAGGTAAACCAAAAGGTGACGGAATCGCATGAACTCAAAAAGGAGCGACGCTGCGTGCGTGGCCAGGATGAAGCGTCTCCTGCTATGCATGCATCTCCCGCCTCTTTATGGAGCTATTGACTATTGAACAGCGGTATACTACTGTTGCCTTTATTTCTTATCATATCTTTTAAACACGAGATGTTGATATGCGATGTCTTTATATAATTTTATTCATAAAAATAAGAGTTTAAAATGAAATTTTTGCATGGTTCTTCCGCAACTACAATTCCATTAGCCAATACTACTAAAGCTATTCTTTGAATCCTATGTTATTATAAAGCGAGTCACTGGTGTTGACCTTCGTTGGGTAAAACACAACAGAAATGCAAAAAAATCAAATTTCAATAAATTGCACTTCTCTGAATCGTTTTCACTGGAATACAGATGAAACAAAAAGATTAGTTCCTAACTTGTTATGTTATACTATATCTTACTTACTCAGTGGCTTCAATCAAAACATGTGGAGTTCCAAAACATAACGGAAATAAGAAACTACAAACACTTTGGTCACTCTGTATCATATTCAAATAACAAACTGTATTACTGTTCAAGAGATAATATTTTTATCATGTCAAAAGATACGTATTTTCTTAACATGTTCCTGTCTTAAGATAGTTCCGTGTCAATACTTACCCCAATACATAAGTTTCATAATTTCCGCTCTCTCTTTATGAATTCTTGTTTCTATATAAATAAATTAATTCGAATTGAACATAAATGCAGCAAAACACCAACGACATAAACAAAGCAACATATTTCTAAAACTGCATTTTATAAAATATATATTATAACTGCTTAGCTTTATAATCGCCACTATTGCTGAACATTTTCCGGTACTATTATTTTCACAAATTTGAATTGATTTCCACGTGATGTGGTACTTTATCAGCACTGGCTTTCAAATATTTGACTTTTAAAGTTCCTGGTGAACATTAGTACCGAAAAGCACTTCGGTTCATGAAAAAATGAAGTATTATTTTCACTTTTTATAGCACTGGGTTGAGACAGCTGTTAGTGGACTATTTGTTTCTTGAATTTTCTGTTTATAAATTTTGAAATTATTGAGAAACTAAGGTTCCAACTGATGCAAAGTTTATCTTAGAGGGATTTTGTTATTATTTTACCGTTTTCTTTTGTCATATAGCTCTTCACGTGTTTGGGTACCTATTAATTCCTGGGTTTTCAAATATTTGGCTATGAGTGTTCCTGATGAAGGTAAATCCAGGTTAGACAGTTGCTTTTCATTTGTTCCGTTAGTTGATATAGTCGAGACTGAGTGTTTGATTTTATCAGGTTTAATGGAAAGTCCCTTTTTAAATTTACCTAGGAGTTTGATATTTTTGTAAATATATTTTTTTTTCAGACGCATAACATTTATTAAAAGTATTAATTTTATTTTTTCAGAGAATCACAATATTATCTTTTCCATTTAGTTCCCTCATCGGTTTGTTATTTTTTTTGTTGAATGGAAATTTGGCAAGTCACTGAATTGTGTGAACATATAAAGCATGTTTTAATTCCTTAAAATGAATCGCTTTTGATTAAATGTACCAAATGGACCAGCGTCTCCTCAGAGATCTCAGAGGTAAAAAAAGGAAACAAAATTATAGCATTTCAGCAAATATCATGCCAAGGAATGTCATTTAGAGCAAACTTACCGGAGGTCTTGAAAAATAACAAGGATATTTGTTCAGAACGAAGAAAACGCGTTTAAATGTAAAAAATTACACCAACTATCGACTTCACGTGCAATTAAAATATCTACTAAATTTCATGTATCACATATAAATTGATACAAAATGTTTCATACCAATAAGAAAATAAATCTCTTGGTAGGACAGTGATAGTAGTATTTGTTTATTAAAGAAACTAATTAGAGGCAGTATCCCCATTTCAAAAATTATGTTACACCGAATGTAACTTGACACGCATTAAACACGTTTAGGAAATGTGAAAGATATTATCTTTCGATTTTTTAATTTTTTTTCGATTAACATCTATGATTCCCAATTATGTTACCTGGGTTGTACCCCATGTTTTATTTCATACCTACCGTTGAACTGACTAATGTTGTACCATATACTTTGGTTATCAGCAGTACTATAATGGAAGAAACGATTATAGCTATTAACAAAGACAGATAATAGTGTATTGAGATACATCAATGTGCCAAAGCAAGTTCACTTCAGTACTAACCGATATATTATACTGTAAGCCAACCCACTGAAAAGTTGACTATAGAACACAAAGCACTGTATGTAAATGTATTTAAGTGTATATAATAAAATGAAAATATATTAAATAAAATAAAGTTATAAATCAATCAACCAAAAAGAATATTTACAACCAACAAAAAACAATATTCCATTTCTTTGCATCAATAAAAGAACACTACTGTCAAAGATAGGTGCGAGTCGAAAATGTTTCCACCTAAAACAATTACTTGTGAAAAATCTATTCTGCACATGGTGTTTAACAGTGACTGTGTCTTCTTGATAAACATTTATTGTGATGATGAATTTGGACTATCTCTTTAGAAAATATGTCCAATGCAAATAAATAAATTACTGCATTTACCGAATAGGCGATTTAAGTTACAGTTTTTAAATTGTATGATTTTCCAATTTTTCACTAATTTCCATTCCTCAAAGTTTTGACATTTTGACCGAATATAGATTCTTACAACGAGCATTTATTGCAGGAGAAAAATGGCTACCCTGTCGAGGCTTTCTCTTTATGCCATGCAATTCCCTAAAATTTTACCCCAATGTTTATATAATAAAAACGGATTGACGAGGTTGGAACATCAGTAAACTACCGTTGCCACTATTTAGTTGCTAAAAGGGATGCTAGCTTTACAAGCGACTTAACTTAGACCTTTTACTATTAGTGTTGTTGTGCTCTTTGTAACTTGTAACCGGTAGATAAATTGAAACAAAAATGAAACAGTCATACCCTTATTCAAAATTTCTGTAAAGGGAAAAAACAATACGGATTTAATAACCTTTTGTCTGCAAATTGTTTTTTATTAAGGATATTTTTCTTTTCAATTTCACACTTTCGAAAATTTGTTGTGTGTACATGGAGCACATGTGCCATACAAAATGGCGAAACAAAATCTTAATAACTTGATTAAATAATAAATATGGTAGTGAAGTGTAGGAGTATAATTAAGTAATCAATATCCAAACTCTTTTTTTTATATTTTTAAAGAGAATTTGAAAAGTTAGAATGAGAACTAAAAATTACAAGGTGTATTTTGAATTAGGAGGAGTCCCACTGCATTTACAAAGGTATTGTAAAATGATCCTTGATGGATTTGGCTATTCTGTTTAGGTCCTTTTTGGTCATAAAGCTCCCAAAGTTTCAGCGTATTAACGCATTCCTGGCTTTTAAATGTTTAAGTTTGAGCGTTCTTGGTGAAGGTATAAATCCAGAAAACCGCTTAATTCGGACGCACAAAATTAATCAAGTGATTATTTTATTTATCTCTGTAGACCTGTTAATTTTATATATCAACATTTAATAAGAAAAGAACGTTTACATGCAAATGACTTTTATAGCTTGTTCATAGGTTGTGCTGGTTCACTACTGTACCAGGTTTGGGGAGGGTTGGGCGCCCGCAAAAATGTTTAACCCCGCCACATTCTGTATGTCCCTGTCCAAAGTCAGGAGCCTGTAATTTAGTGGTTGTCGTTTGTTGCTGTATATCATATTTGTTTTTCATTTATTTATTTGTACATAAATCAGGACGTTAGTTTTCTCTTTTGAATTGTTTTTATAGCTGATTATGCGGTAAGAGTTTTGCTCATTGTTGAAGGCCGTATGGTGACCTATAGTTGTTAACTTCTATGTCGTTTGGTCTCTGGTGGAGTGTTGTCTCATTGGCAATTATACCACATCTTCTTATTTTTATATATAACTTGATTGTGACATCACAGAACGAGATATCACCGAATTTGTACTTATCATGATCAAGACAGCATGTGTCACATGTGGAGCAGGATTTGCTTCATCTTCCGGGAGCACATGACATTAACTTTCGGGTGTTTTTGAAGTTGCTCAGACTTTGGTATATAGTGTTTTGTAGACTGTTGTTTGTCTTTTTGTCGGGGTTTTTTTTGTGTTTTTCTTTTGCCATTGTGTTGTCCATTTCTCTTTTACATGAGTTTTAAATCCCCTTGATATTTTTCGCCTCTTTTTTTAAATTGAAACTGGAAGTCATTTAAATATAACAGAAAAACCTAAATATTTTATATACAACTGTTTTAAATGATATAAAAGTACTTTAATATTGGAAACTATTTATACATTGTTGAAAGAATTTGTAACTCTAAATTGTGAAAACCATGCTCCAAAATTGTATGAATGATATTAGTTACTGTCATGCTACAAAATTGTATGAATTATATTAGTTAATACCATGCTCCAATTGTATTAAGTTGTATTAATTAATATCATGCTCCAAAATTGTATTAAATGTTTTAATTAATATCATGATCCAAGATTGTGTTAAATTGTATAAATTGTATTAATGAATTACTAAATTGTATTACAATATATACTGTTCTGTTAGCTATAAGCTGTATTGCTTTTGAAATAAAGAATATAATATATATATAAACCCCTGTTTTGAAATAAAGATTTTACTGTAATATGGTAAAAAGATGACAGCACCAAACAAAAAATGTCATGATCTGACCTTGACCAGCAACTTGTTAAATCATAAACATGTTTAGAAACATTTCAAGCATATTTGATTTGATGAGTAATTAAATACTTTAAATTCAAAACAATTACTATAATTGCATAAACAATACTACATAGAAAGAAAGCTGTACTGGATTAAAAAGTCAAACTACAACTCACAAATTGAAACAGCACTGAATACTACAGATAGAAAGGATACAAACCTAAATATGGCTGAACACAAAAACAGTGAACTTAACAAGTCGAACAAGTTTGAATACCAAAGATAGCAGGTTACAAATTTGAAAGAATACTTAAGATGAGTAAGTAGAAAAAGCGAACAAATTTTATACAAGTATATTCTAAATGTGTTCGTCTTTAATCTTAACTTGAATACATACCTGGTATTATAGGTTGTTGTATTGCTTTTATCAGGTTTGTCAGGAACAAAATAGGGACCTGTAAGTAAGATACTTCATTAAAGAACCTTGGTGAGTGCGCTCACATACCCCACGTCCCCACATTGTCATTGGAGAAATAAAATAAGTGAAAGAAAAAAAAATTGTATCAGAAAAAAAAATTGAATCATAATTTCCTGTCAATATGCACATCTACATAGTATGTCCTTATTATCTACACAGTTTCATGAAATTCTGTTGTGTGGTTTGAGAGGAGTTGCGATGACAAAAGGTTGCAGTAGTATATTGGGCAAATAAGTTCAAAGGGGCGTAACTCCTGGAAAAAAAATTGAATCGTAATTTCCTGTCGATATGCACATCTACGTAGTATGTCCTTATTATCTGAAAAGGTTTCATGAAATTCTGTTGTGTGGTTTGAGAGGAGTTGCGATGACAAAAGGTTGCAGTAGTATATTGGGCAAATAAGTTCAAAGGGGCGTAACTCCTGGAAAAAAAATTGAATCGTAATTTCCTGTCGATATGCACATCTACGTAGTATGTCCTTATTATTTGAAAAGGTTTCATGAAATTCTACTGTGTGGTTTGAGAGGAGTTGCGATGACAAAAAGTTGCAGTAGTATATTGGGCAAATAAGTTCAAAGGGGCGTAACTCCTGGAAAAAAAATTGAATCGTAATTTCCTGTCGATATGCACATCTACGTTGTATGTCCTTATTATCTGAAAAGGTTTAATGAAATTCTGTTGTGTGGTTTGAGAGGAGTTGCGATGACAAGAAATAGGACTGACGGACTGACGGACGGACAGACAGACGGACGGACAGACGGACAGATTGACGGACGGACGGACGGGTCAAAAACATTATACCCTCCGCAACTCGTTGCGTGGGGTATAATTAACTTTGTCAATTATACTACTATTTTTTTCTCGATATTCCAAATGCACGTACATGTGTTGTAATAAATTGAATATAAAGAAAAAACAAGCCTGTGGTAGGAACTTTCCTTTTGAATTTCTTTCAATCTTAAACTTCGCAATGCCATTGATTCTTGTAAGTACCTTGAGATTATGACAACATAGCAGGGTATTTGTGACCTGTTACATAAAGTAAAGAAGCTAAACAAATTTGGCACATTTTTAGTAATATTTATCAAAAAAAAAATAAAATGGGCAATAGAAAAGAAATTATATCGATCGAATATGCAGATACATTAAATAGATAGGGAAAGAGCAAATGTACAAAGAAAAATTACTAAAGGTAAATTCGAAACATCAAAATCTCTTCTAATGATTAACATTGGAGATGTATTATTAAATACTTGTTACAGGCAAAGATGTGGATTGAATCAGCTTTTATTGCGCGTCAAAGCTGTTTGAAATGTGACTGTGTATATATATATAAATCCAACAGAGCCTAAAGGTGTTGGCTCTTGTACGTCTAAAACGCAAATGCATACTTCAGGGTGTGAATGGGGGTTTATAGAATAGAGAATAATGGGTAAAAAATATAAAGAATAGAGAAAAATGGACCAAAAAAATAAAGAATAGAGAATAATGAGGTGCTAAAATATAAAGAATAGAAAATAATGGGCAAAAAGTATACATAATAGAAAAATTGTCTAAAAAATTAAAGAATACAGAAATGAATGACCCCCATCCAGACCCTCACACTTCTAAAAAAAACATTACTTAGGCGTCACCTATCATACTGGGCGCTTCTGTACATCAAATTTCCAAATTATTCATTTTGGTTCTGGAAGATGTTCCAAATTGATACAAAACTTAACAAAAACATTTAGAAATTTTCTTCAACGCTGAGCCAAGTATAGCACTAAAAACTTCCATTTTTTTCATTTCTTTACACTTTGTATTAAAACCTCAATATTTTGAATTATGTAAAAAACTAAAAAAAAAATGATTAAACAGAAAAAATTTGAATATCACCAAAAACTTTATAAATCACTTTCAGATAATTTTAAAAATAATCCAAAAGAATATTGGAATGTTCTAAAGGCAATAAAAAAGAAACCAAATATTGAAGGAGATATTCCTGAAATTTTAATGCATGAAAATAAAATCATAAAACATTTTCAGGATCAGGGTACACCGGCATCATATGATAAACCCTTTGTAAATAAACTGGAACGTGAATTAAACATTCTAGAGGATAATATTGAATTGAATATGGAAACTGATGCACCAATTACATTTGCTGAGGTAAAACTGGTCATTTCAAACCTTAAAGTTAACAAATCAGCAGGTCCAGATAGAATTGTTAATGAAATACTCAAACATTCACAACCTGTGATAATTAATTCTATTGTAAAAGTTTTTAATTTGATTTTAAAGACAAGTAATTATCCAGATTCATGGAAATTATCTTTCATGATCCCTTTACATAAATCAAAGCGCGAAAGCGCTGTAAAGGCAGTTAATTACAGGTTGTGTGTATTTTTAGTCCAGTTATATCATTATCTTGCATAGTACAGTGTACTTATCAGAGGTGGCTTTCAGTATTTAAGATTTAGAGTTCTCTAATGATATTGAACAAGTTTTATGAATGTCATATTCTGAGCACTATATGAAGGCGATTGTTCTCACTTGTTTATGAACTAGTGCATTATGTCCAGTTTGTACCTTTTTTTTATCTATGTTTATAGTCAAATTAGTTATCAAAGGTACCAGGATTATAATTTAATACGCCAGACGCGTGTTTCGTCTACATAAGACTAACCAGTGACGCTCAGATCAAAATAGTAATAAAGCCAAACAAGTACAATGTTGAAGAGCATTGAGGACCCAAAATTCCAAAAAGTTGTGCCAAATACGGCTAAGGTAATCTTTTCCTTGGATAAGAAAATCCTTAGTTTTTCGAAAAATTCAAAGTTTTGTAACAGGAAATTTATAAAAATGACCATATAATTGATATTCAAATACTGCTTAAAATAGTTAAGCATTTTCTTTTTAGTAATAAGTAAATGTTATCAACTGTATTTTATTCAACTCTGCAAATGTGGTTTGTTACTGGTAAGTATGGATGATAGTTGTTTCATTGGCAATCATAACACATCTCCTTATTTATATAATGATCTATATTCAACGACCTCAGGTACAAAAAAAATGTATGTAACTAAACTATGATGGGAAACCTTTGACTTCTTTCTTTTATATAAACTTTTGATTTGGTACCATAGAACTATGTAGAATAAATGTACATTGCAACATGTCAACTCTTTCAATGACAATACTTTTTTTGTAAACTATAACTCCAAGCAAAATTATATTTCCAAGCATAAAGTAATTTATGAATGAAAAAAGGAGTTCTTAATTAAGAAATAAACTGATTCGCTGAGCGCAGCTGGATACACCCGCAGAGGTCCAACCCTGAACAGTTGGGGCAAAAATGGACACAATATTCAAGCTTGATACAGGTCTGAATTTGGATTGTAATTAAATATTTGATATATTATAGTTTCTGAATAAATGTAGTCAAAGAACTTGAAATCGGTTATATGAATTGAATTTATATTTAATTAAAGATTTCTTGCTGTTGTGCAATACACTATGCTGTTGCACAATACTTAATAAATCTGTTGCCAGACTATAAACAAATAAAGTTCAATTTCTTCTCAATGTCATATTTGAAATTTATGAAAATCAATAGGGAGATTACATCAATAGCTATAAATAATTCACCAAAGTTTCATGTGAACCGCTTAAAGCATTTTTGAGTTGTTGTCCAAAAACTGGAAAATCCCCCCTTTTTTAATGAATAAAACCCCATAACTCAGAAATGTATAATCTAAAATTTATAAAATTCTAAAGGGAGCTTACGGATTGATAATTTAGTCTTCGATGCAAGATTTTTTTATCAGTTGTTAGTGGCTTTGAACTAGCTGTTAGTAACTGCGAGTACTCTCAGATCTGTACTTAGTGTCTTTTTGTTGTTTGGATGTACAACTACCCGACCACGTCCACTTGTATTTGTATTTATCCATCTGATGAGTTAAGCCTCTTTCAACTGATTTTTATAGTTCGTTCTTATATTGTACTGTTACACCACTGTCCCAGGTTAGGGGGAGGGTTGGGATCCCGCTAACATGTTTAAGCCCGCCACATTCTGTATGTACATGTATGTGCCTGTCCCAAGTCAGGAGCCTGTAAAAGTGTAATTCAGTGGTTGTCGTTTGTTTAAGTGTTGCATATTTGTTATATTCGTTCATTTTTTGTACATAAATTAGGCTGTTAGTTTTCTTGTTTGAATTGTTTTACATTGTCATTTCGGGGCCTTTTATAGCTGACTGTGCGGTATGGGCTTTGCTCATTGTTGAAGGCCGTACTGTGACCTATAGCTGTTAATTTCTGTGTCATTTGGTCTCTTGTGGAGAGTTGTCTCATTGGCAATCATACCACATCTTCTTTTTTATATTTACATCAACAGATATAAAAAATTCACCAAAGTCAAGGTGAGACAACAAAACTTAGTTGTAAGATCTCTGAAATTTTTTACACGGTACGAGTTTTTCTCATTGTTGGAGATTGTATGGTGACAGTAACACCTGTAACTGCTTAAACCCATTTCTTATGCACTTTAGTTCGATAAACTCACTGAATATCATACCACATTTCCTTATTTTATATGCATTACAATTTACATGTGCATGTAATTGTAAATATATATATATACCAGAACAAAATTCATTGCGTCACTTTTATTTATGCATCCTTTGGCACAATACAAGTTCTAAAATTACACAACATAAAACAACTAAATGTTATTTCAGATGAAAGTTTTGTTTCAGTTCCATTCATAGGATTTATTAGAATTTTGTATGTTTTGCCAAGTCCAATAATTCGCTCTATGTGCACGTGTTAATTGGAGACTTTTCTATCCCGTATAAATGTTTTGGAACTAATTCTGTTTTTTGAAAAAAGTTAGCAGACAAATCTTGCACATTTAAACCTTTGTCTGCCATCACACTGTCACCTGGATCACATAATTGAACTATTCTACATCTTTCAACTATTTCATAGTCACTGGTA